TATTCATGCACTGAATCTCATTTTTAATGAGTTTGAGAGGGCACGGGCTGGCGGGATTACTTTTGAAAATTGTGGATGTCGATTGCGAACAAGTTGCGGGCTTCCATGTGCACACGAGCAAGTAACATATTTTAACTGTGGTAAGCCTATCCCACTTGATTCGATTGATATGTTTTGGAGGAAGCTCGACTTATCATCTTCCATCAAGAAACAATCAAGAACTGGTAAATTCAACATATTGAGAAAGCTGAGGGAGTTGATCGCGCCATCTACAACTTCGATCCGTGAGCCAGCCGTGCAAATAAATGTTCGTGGGCGTCCCACTTCAAAAAACAAATCTCTCATAAGAACTGTATCTCTCAGAAAAACTCAAGCCGAGCCAAATAATATTCAATTTCAAGACCAAGCTCGGAATAGTTGTTCAGCTGCACCAACTTCAGGTGATAGACACTTTTACCATCCATATATGCTTCAACTTCCGGTTATATTCCATCCTTTCATCATGCAAGTGCAAGATGTGAGATCTGACGGAAACTGTGGATTTCGAGCCGTAGCTCTCTGTCTCGGTTTTAAGGAGGACGAATGGTTCAAAATTCGATCCAATTTAATCGAAGAACTAGAGTCTCACACAATGGAATATACCGATATGTTTGGAACTCAAGGATGATATAATGTCTATAACATGTTCAATTTTTTTGCACAAGATCGGTGTGCACCAGTTGAGCACTGGATGACTATGCTGGAGATGGGTGTACTAATTGCTTCCCGATACAATGTGATACTACATGTTTTGAGTATGGCCGGCAGTACAACATATTTACCACTTCGATCTAGCCCACCACCTTGGTACGAGCATGTAGCAATAACCCTCGGTTATGTTAATAATAATCATTATGTTAAGGTAACATTGACAGGAGGGTACCCAATGCCTACAATTGCTCCACAATGGGCTTATTTTAGATATGATTGTGCAAATGCATGGATGACTCCATATATGAATAGGATTGAAAGTTACAATGAGCATGTACGCTCTAATTGTACTCGGGAAAATGTTATATTAGATTGAAATTGAATGAATTTATTTTTTATTTTTTTTATTGTGAAGTTAATGTATTTTTACAATTTTTAGCGATTCAAATTTAATTTATTATATCTCTATAAAAAAGATAAAATAATGTATACAACAAATTTAAGTTATAAAAAATATTAAAATAACAAAATTAATCATTATTTTTTTATTTAAAAATTAAACCATAAACAAAAACAAGTATTGAAAATAGAAAGTTAAAAAAAATGTATTGAACAAAAAAAACAAGTATTGAAAATAAAATTTAAAAACATATGTATTGAAAATAAAAATTTTCAAAACAATTACACAAATAATTTAAAAAAAAAAAAAAAAAAAAAGATCCCGGTCACCTTCTCCGGTGAGAAGGCGAGGGACTGCCTTCTCACCAGAGAAGGCAGTCCGTCGCCTTCTCACCGGAGAAGGTGACGGACGGCACTCATCTTTTTTTTTTTTTTTTTTTAAATTTTAATATGTTATTGTTAAAAAAATAAAAATAAAATAAATATTACTTTGACTACATTTATTAATAGTAGTCAAATAGTACTTTGGTATTTGCACCATCTATTTGACCTATTATATAGGAGGTCCAAATAGCAAAATAGGTGGTGCAAATAGAATCTCCCATAATAAAATATAAATACACATAATAACTTCAAAAAAATATGAATAAATACATCTACCCACACAATTAATGCATTCATACTTGATAATCTTGTTTATATCAAAATGCATCCACACTTTGGAAGGAAAATTTTGTGGCTAGATTCTGCTTTATTATATATATGTATATGTATATGTATATAAAGAAGATATAAAGATTATATATAAAGATTTGAATTTTTTTGTTTGAAAGGAATTTGAATTTGAAATAACTATTTTAATTATATAACTAACGTATTTAAATAAACCTTGTAAATAAAATAGCTGGCGATATTTGTCAAAAATCTCCACCAAAAACTTATTCATTTGAAAATGGTTATTTATGTAAAAACTATATTTATTTTATATCTATTTTCTCCTCTTTATATATGTGAAGTCAAATTAATTATAATTGATGTTTAAATGAATGTATACACAAATTCTATTAAATATAAAACTTTACCAATAAATTCGAATACAATAAACTTTTTTCCATACTTCATTATATATATATATATATATATATATATATATATATATATATATATATATATATATATATATATATATATAGTGAAAGGTTCCTGTGCATTTGTTGCTTCCCGTGCGGATATGCGTGGGATTTGTACTCAATGTGCGTGAGTGTTGTGTTTAATGTGTCTGAGATTTGTACTTAATGTGCGTGAATGTGTAAAATGTAGCAGAAAATATTATGTTAGCTTCTTCCCCATCCCCAGTAGCCATTTACCCCCTCCCTGATGATGATGATGCAGAGGCGAGCTATGGAGGTTAAGAATTATGGGAATAATACAACAGAAATCTACACTTTGTTGCTGTGCAAATTTTACTGTGCGTGCGTTATTTATATAAACATTCAACTGCATTGAAGGTAGCTAATAACCCAGAATCCATGGCCAAATTGAAGGAAGAAGTAACAAGAAGCTTGGGCGTTAATGTGCATGAGTTTCTATTCTACTTCTTTCTGAGGTCGTAATTCTGAAATACTCAGGCACATTAAGCACAAATCTCACGCACATTAAACAGAATACTCAGGCACATTAAGTACAAAACTCACGCATATTAACATGACGCACATTAAGTACAAATCTCAGGCACATTGAGTACAAATCTCACGCACATTAAGTATAAACCTCACGCACATTAATCCGCCGCACATCCGCACGGGAAGCAACAAATGCACCTGATCCCTTCCATATATATATATATATATATATATATATATATATATATATATATATATATATAGAGAGAGAGATAGAGAGAGAGAGAGAGATTAGCTATAATAATAAAATATAAATATAAATAATAACTTTAAAAAAATATGTATAAATACATCTACCCACACAATTAATGCATTCATACTTGCCAATCTTGTTTATATCAAAATGCATTCACACGAAAAATTTTGTGGCTAGATTCTATTTTATTATATATAAATATAAAGATAAAGATAAAGATAAAGATATAGATATGACAAGAGAAATTAGACCAAATAATGTAGGGGTTATATATAAATATGTCACGTAATGAGATATAAGAAATGAGAACTTTATATCCGTATACGAGTATACAAAGTAATTGGGAGTTCAACTGGTTGAATCGAGAGGGGTCGAATAGCTGGGTCAAAGATAGGACAAAAACAACAAAAAGTGGACAAAAATATGACATTATATTTTTGAAAGTTGGACGAAAATAGGAAGACTCTTCTTGCAGAGCTTATATATAGTTTATTTTAAAGCTCTGTTCGGTAACGCTTCCAAAATAAGCTCATAGATTAAAATAAGAGCTTATTTTGGAACGTTTTCAAAATAAGCTTCTAGCTTCCTAACTTCTCTTTTTTTTTTTTAATCTTTATCCTTATTATTTTAAAGAAATGACATAATTTACACTTCCCAATTAAAACCATTTTTTCTTCTCCTTTATCCGCAACTTTCACTGCAAATAATAATAATAATAATAATAATTATTATTATTATTATTATTATTATTATTATTATTATTATTATTATTATTATAGATCTAGATCTTTGTGTTCAGTCTTAGAAATCACATGTTGTATCCTTTGACTTTGTTTGACGCATTTAATTTGGTAATTAATAACTGAATTAACTAAGAAAAGTTGAACTCCCTAACTCATTGTACTAGTTTAACTAAGCTTAGCGAGATATATTTTATAGATACCTCTCATCTTTTCTTTCAACCGCACATGAGTACACCATCCGCATTTGAACTGTATTATATTCTATATATATTTTATGTATATACATCTACGCTTTCTTTGGATATGTTTTTGGTGGGTTGTTGAAAGTAAATCACATGCATATATGCTCTATATCCGCTGGCCACTGCACGTTAGAGTAATTCAACTTCAAAATTCTGTATTATCCAATACAAATGACCTCAAATACGACAAAATTAATATTGTTCAGCGGGCACTATTTGAGAGAAGAGACCCAGATTCGAATTTCGGCAGCGATAGTATGGAAATTATATCTAAAGTGGGCATATTTCTTGTGCGCACCCGACATTTGGTCCTGTCCACTGAACCATTGAGTCACCGTAATTTACATCCTCCCAAATACTCTATCAGGTCGGGGTGTGGGGACCCTTAAAGTTAGGGACTCAACCATTTGGGAGAAGATTGTTAATCAACCAACCCATGCAGTAGTATACTTCTAGTTCATATATACTTCAAGTTTGAACCAATTCAATTCATTAAGTAACTGAACCTAACTTAAGCTTAAAATCTTTTCAATTCACTCGTGCCTCGTTGAGTTACTCGAGATATATAATTCAAATGTTATAAAAAAAATAAAAATATTTTAAAAAGACATGTGTCAAACATGTGAAGACTTAGCATGCTAAATAAGTCACTTTAGATTTAATTGAATATAGGTTCAGGAGATCTGAATGGAACTATTCTTATTAGGAAATTCAATTTTACTATGCAATCGACTTAGAAGGTGAATTTAACAGATTTCCTAATATTTATATGCACTGCAAGATTATAACTTATATGACGTCAAAATGATGACGTACGCAAACGCCCGTTTGTCCAATGCGTAACATGTGAATTAAGTCGTGCAAATATATTTAACGCCAACATGTATATATGTGAACAATGATTATTTGAACTTAAATTTTTTTTTGAAAATATATGTGGTGCTTTATTAAAAATATGTCGAAATAATGTCTGGTGGGAGAAGATCCCAGTACATAGCAGCCGATTGCTGATATGCTGAAGTAGCTAAGGCATGAGCTATAAAATTGTCTAGTCTAGAAATAAAATGGAAAGAACAAGACTGAAAATAAGATGTAGTTGCTCTGCAGGCGTCAATGGCATAGCCAACGTAAGTGCGAAACGTAGTAGACGGTGTAGTAAGATAACGCTGTAGCATTAAACAATCTGTATATATTTCGATGTTCTGTTCCCCTCGATCCTTTAACCATGACAAAGCCTCCTTGCATGCCAATGCCTCGGCCATAAGTGGTGAGAAACAATCCGGGAGGGGTGCACTGAAGGCCGCGACATACCCTCCATTCATGTCTACGAGGATTGCCCCAACCGTAGCCTTGCCCGTATTGTGTATAAACCCCGCGTCGATGCGACATAGCCTCCGAGGTGGCTCTTCCTGTACAATACCGTGAGGTCTGAGTGGCGCATGAGAGCCAAGATGTTGAGATTGCGTTGCAGGCAGTGGTACGTGGTTTTGGACTGCTGGCGGGTTTGCCCTTCTCCATGCATGCAATGCCGAATTCGCTGCTGCCAACAAAGATTGTGGCCGTGGTAATAGAGCATTCCAAACCGCCCCGTTCCGTGCTCTCCAAATATTGTAGAGGATTGATGCTGCATATAACATCCCATCAAAATCTAAAACATTTAAGAGCTCACCAAACCAAATATGAAAAATATTCGTTATAATATTGGGGATTGGAAGGTTGGATCGGTCCCAAATGTTCTTTGCAAATTCACATAACACTAAAGCATGCATAGTGTCCTCTTGAGATGATCCACACATGGCACAATATGGGTTTACTTCTACCCTCTTTATAAGCAAATTAGAAGTGGTAGGCAGTATATCACAAATGGCTCTCCATAGGAACATTCTCCATTTTGGGGGTATTTTGAGTTTCCACAAGGTTAACCACTTTGTAAAGGTCCCATTCTCATTCCCATAATTACCAACTATTAATCTGTATCCGCCCTTTACAGAATAAACTCCTCTCGGGTCCCCAGGCCAATACCAAGTATCATCATAATCCGGAGAAACTGGTATTTTAAGAATATTTGCCACATCACTAGGATGAAAAAGATCAGTTAAAATTGAAAGATCCCAAGTCCGTGTTTGTTGATCAATCAATCCCACCACCTTAGCATCCTGTAACTGTACTGGCATCTCTGTTTGTATCATGGGGTCTTGGTCGTCCTGTAACCAAGGATGGGTCCATATGAGTGTAGATTCCCCATTTCCAATCCTCTGTCTTACCCCACTACAAATGATACTCTTGGCTGCCATAATACTCCGCCAGCAGAAACTAGGATTATTTCCCACTTGTGCATCAAAAAATGAGCCTTTGGCATAATACCGTGTTTTATATATACGAGCTACCAAGGACTCAGGTTTAGTAAGCATTCGTCACGCCTGTTTTCCCAACATAGCCAGGTTAAAAGCACGCAATTCCTTGAATCCCAAACCCCCATATTTCTTAGGAACACACAGTTTGTCCCAAGCCTTCCAATGTATCCGTCTATCAGTTCCAGAGTCCCACCAGTAACGATTCATAGTCCTCTCAATCGCTGTACAAACAGAAGTTGGCAGCAGGAAGACACTCATTGAAAAGGTAGGCATGGATTGTGCTACACTTTTCAATAAAATTTCTTTACCTGCCTGTGATAATAACCTCTTATTCCATGACCCAATTCTTTGCCGGATTTTATCCTCTATATATGCAAAAGCTGCCTTTTTGTTTCTCCCTACAAATGAGGGGAGTCCCAAATACTTGCCAAAATTAGGAGCCTGGCCAACTCCCAGAACTTGCGCCACCACTTCCTTACTTGCGTTACTCGTGTTCCTACTATAACATATGCTTGACTTGTGGTAATTAACCACTTGCCCAGATAAATCCTCATAGACTGATAGACACCTCTTGATCTCACTGGCCTCTTGAACATTGGCTTTAAAAAACAGAAGGCTATCATCAGCGAAAAACAAGTGAGAGATTGGGGGAGCACCTCTTGCCACTCTGCATCCATGGATCAAACCCCTATTGTGAGCCTGCTGTAATAACAAAGAAAGGCCCTCTGCACAAATAATAAAAAGATAAGGAGATAATGGGTCTCCCTGCCTTAAACCACGTGTGGGTAAATAGGTTCACTCCTAGAGCCATTCACCAATAAATTATACGAGACTGTAGATACACAATTCATGATTAACTGCACCCATCCAACATCAAAACCCAAAGCCAACATCATTTTTTCCAGGAAAGGCCACTCCATCCGGTCATAGGTCTTTGCCATATCAAGCTTCAGAGCACTCCACCCCACCATGCCACACTGTTTCCTGTTCAAAAAATGACCCACCTCCGCTGCTACCAAAATATTATCAGTTATAAGCCTATCTGGAATAAAGGCACTCTGCGATTCCGATATGACTCCTTCCATCAGCAGTTTCATTCTATTTGTTATCATCTTTGCCATAATCCTATAGATCACATTACTGAGGGCTATAGGACGCAAGTCAGTTACTAGCTCAGGGGTCTTTTTCTTTGGGATCAAAATAATATCTGTACTGTTTAAGCTAGGTGGTAGATTGCGTGAGTTAAGACATCCCATGACAAAAGTCGCAACATCCCCCCCCTACCACATCCCAAAAATGTTGATAGAACCCCGGGTTCATTCCATCCGGGCCCGGTGCCTTATCAGGAAACATTGCAAACAGGGCCGATTTAACTTCATCAAATTCAAAAGGCCGTAACAACAATTTGAACTTAAATTAGAGTTGGTCAAGTTAATGTAGCAAATAAACAATGATCATACAGAATAATGAGAATATAAACAGGCAAAATATTGTATCAATGTAGACATAATATTTTAGAGTATTTATCGCTTATATGATCTCACGAATTAAATTTTGTAGTTACTTTTTGTCATTAAAACTTAAAATTTTGTGAATAATCACTAAAAATTGTACATACACTAAAAAAATGTTTTTATTATATGATAGTATATATACATTTGTCAAAATATAAGTGTTTATAAATATACTACGTTAGTATGTTATGAGATATAAGAAATAAGAACTTTATACGGTTAAATGGGTACAAAGCAATTAGGAGTTCATTTGGTTGACTCTAAGGGTCGAATAGCTCCGATTACATGGAAGTGTTAGGGAAATTGAATTTTATTTCGTTTAGTTCATGAAAATTAAAACATTTTTCATCGATAAAAGTTTTACTTAACTCACATTTGATATTATGTTTTCAATGGAAAACTAGTACGATAATTTTACCCTTATTGATTGGACACTTCAGAATATTAATCTATTGAACTATCATCTAGGCTTACTATTTAAATTAGTGAGCAATTATGTTATTTAATACCTCCATCAAAAATGAAAATGTGATCTTAAACAACCAAAAAAAAAAAGTCAAAACAGTCATGTTTTATTATGTATAGATCTAGGATTCTTTCAATCGCTTTTGAATCACAATATATATGTAATTTGGTGGGTTGTTGAAAGTCAATTAATCATCAGATAACATGCTCTATATCAGCTAGATGGCCACGTTAGAAATTTAGTTTGTAAATATCTGTATTATCCAATAAAGAATAAGATACAATTGAGATTGTTGGCAAATATATAAATTTGTAGTACTTCAATCATATTATAAATAGTGTGATCATATCTATACTTCAATCATATAGGCATTGCTGTTGCTGGTTTGGCGCTGTGAATGTGTGATGCGCGAAGGTTATCGCTTTGACAAGGCCCAGGGGGAATCGAACCAAAACTTCTTGCATCTGAAAAAGTAAGAGAACAGTGCGCATCCGGGGAATCGAACCCCGGTCAGTACCGTGGGAGGGTACTATGATACCACTACACCAGATGCGCTTCTCTGGTACTACGTCTTAGCTGAAAGTATCTAATTAGGTTTTTTTTTGGATTGTATCGAAAACCTTGTACAGCACTACAGCCCGTTGAATTTAGGACGTTCGAGGTGATCCTGGATTCTCCTCCAGCTCCAGTTGAGAATGAGGATAGTAGGATTAACGGGAGGAATTGCTTCAGGGAAGAGCACCGTCTCCAATCTTTTCAAGTCCCGCGGTATTCCGGTCGTCGATGCCGACATCGTTGCTCGTGTGAGTATCATTCCTTAATTAGGTTTCCACACTCCAAATTGTGGTCTCAATTTCGATCATTCCACCATTATTAACGTGCTGCTAAATGTATTAGAAGTAAACTTAATCAGTGGTTTTGCGGAATTCATGTGACAGTTGTTTGTGATTATGCAGAATGTCTTGAAGAAAGGCACTGGAGGGTGGAAAAAGGTAGTGGCTGCATTTGGAGAAGACATCTTGCAGGCCAATGGCGAGGTGGATCGCGCCAAGCTGGGTCAAATCGTGTTTTCTGATCCTGCAAAACGCCACCTCCTTAATAGGTGTTTATTCATAAGCATTTAGTTGTGTTTTTAGTGTCATAATTTGTGTTTATTCCTCAAGTACACTTAAATCTTTATGGAGTTTCACATGTTAATGCTATCATCAAGATCAGTTATCCTTTAGCTGCTTACTTGATTTTAAGGACCAACTCGGATAATTGGCCTTCTTGGTTTGAACCGGCAACCTAGGCTGGTTTACCAATAGTCCTTTGTAGGCCAGGGTCACAAGGCGGGGTTTACCCAATGTACACTCAAAGAGTGGAATTTTAATGTGGAGTAATTAACTGAATTGTGGATGTAAAATATTATTTGTAGAGTCATCGGTTTATTCATGCCAGATTGAGTTGGAATGCCATTGTATTATTTTCTTGAAAGCATAAGGAATCTGTTTAATTGTAGCAAAATGTGTGAACTATGTGTTTGCATTGTAGTAAGGAGCTTTTAAGAATGAGTTGCAGAAAATCTATGAGAATACAGTGTATGAGCTTCTGAGATTTTGTTATGATGCATTTGTAGGCTGTTAGCGCCTTATATTTCATCCGGTATCTTTATGGAAGTCTTGAAGCTGTGGATGAAGGGTTGCAAGATAATTGTTCTCGATGTGCCTCTTTTATTTGAAGCCAAGATGGATAAGTGGACTAAACCGATTATTGTTGTTTGGGTAGACCCGGAGACACAGCTTCAGCGGCTCATGACAAGGGATGGATCTATAGAGGAAGAGGCCAAAAGCAGGATAAGTTCTCAGATGTCTCTGGATGTAAAGAGGACAAAGGCGGATATTGTGATTGATAATACAGGGACACTAGAGGATTTGAATAAGCAGTTTGAGGCGGTGTTAATCCAGATAACAAAGCCATTGACTTGGACCGAGTATGCACTTACCAGACAGGGAGCTATTCTTGGATTGCTTTCTATTTTCGTTGGCGTTGTAATATGCAAGAAAAGTTTATGATTGTAATTTCTTTAAACTTTTCATTAATGTTTTGTGTTTGAAGTATTCTACTCGAAAACTGGATCCATTTGTTGAAAGTTTCTTATTGTGCTAACATAGCATGCAGGATACCAATTTCATTTAGTGAATTTTGTGTTTTCTGTTTTGAGACTCTGTTTACCTAGGAATTTCTCCTAGAAGAACCAGCAGTGGTCCCGTCGCTTGTCATTATTTTTATGAGCTGCTTTTGCACTAAGATTTCTTTTTCTGACTTTGGAACTTTTTGCAGTCCCATAATCTCTCAATTCATAAATTTCCACCAAGGGCAAGCCAGGCTTGTGTTCTCTTTCTTCCTCCCTTCTCTCCTTCCTTGCATTCTGTTTACTGTTAGTTTAGAGCAGCATTCATTTCCTAAACTGAGATGGCAAAAAACTCTGGCAATGATGGATTGGAGTCCCTAAAATACAAGGTATGCTCGTGTGTTTATCATAGATCAGTCACTCCCGCATATTCTTGCAGAATTTTACCATACAGAACTGTTTTTGTGATATAAATATTTCGTTGTTTCTTGTGCTCAATTTTGCAGACATGGGTGTTGAAAGTCTTCATCCATTGTGAAGGTTGCAAGAAGAAAGTCAAGAAAATTCTTCAGAGCATTGATGGTAAGTTCTGTTACTAGTTTTTGCTACTATTATTATTAAGTATTGGTGTATTGCTTCTGTATCTAGTTCTAGCTCACAAATATCCACCAATCCTAACCCCCCCCCCCCCCCTCCCCCTCCCCAACCCCCCAATCCACACAAAATCAGTTACCTATTACCAGTTAGTTGTCTTAGGAGTACTTGATGTACCTTATATATATATAATAGTTCTTGGCAGTGTGTGTGTGTGTTGGGGGGGGGTAGGAGTAACTGGGAACTTATGTATTGCTATATATGATGATCAGGTGTCTATGGAACTACCATTGATGCTCAGCAGCATAAAGTTAGTTTCACTGGGAATGTTGATCCCGAAACAGTAATCAAGAAGCTGGTGAAAATGGGGAAACATGCAGAGGTTTGGCAAGCAGAAGAGTTTGGCAATCAAGAGAAAAAACCTAGCAAGTCGAAGAAAAACAAGGGCCAACAGGAAAGCAAAGATGCTGATGATGCTAGCAACAATGAGGAGAAAACTTCGGTAGTGAAAACTGAAAGTACTATTAAAGATGGCAGCAAAGGCAAGGTAAATCGGGAAGGTCAACCAGAGGACATTTCTAGCAGTGTTAAGGAACCTATGGTGGAGGGAAAAGGTAGCTCTGGTGGCATTGGCAGCAAAAAGAAGAAAGGACAGAGCAATAATGCAACCAAAGGGGGAGCTGAAAAAGGTGGCAATAGCGATGGGTCTCCTTTATCTGCTCCCCGAATGGACATACCGAGTGGAATGAAAGATCCCAGCCTGCTGTGCCAGCAAATCCACCCATATCCTCAGGTTTACCATCCAATCCCAGAGTATGGAATGAGTTACAACACGGCGTATCCTAGTACTAGTAACTCTTCATATTATGATCCCGATATGCAACCTTATCCTTATTCCCATTACTATGCACCGCCTCGCCCACCGTCTGATCCAATCACAACTGTGAATGATCACAGTGACTATGATTATGATGATGCCGATGAAAGTGGATGCACAGTCATGTAACCCAACCTAAGTAATCAAGGGTTTAAAGTTAAGTTATTGTGTGTGGGGAAAAAAAAAAGAAGCTACCAGTACTGCTTGCTTTTAGTTGTATGTAGGACCAAGGTATAATATGGCTTTTCCTTCACCTGTATGTGTAATAAAGTTGTTTTTTGTTGGTGAGATTAATCTATATGGCTCTCTTTCTATAAAGGAGGAAATGGTTTTTCTTTTTAGAAAGGCAACTCTCTCCTTGGCTGAGAAAGCCTAAAAACCACCATGAATGAAGCTTTTACCCACTTTTATGTCAGAATGATGTACAAACACACACACACACATATACTAATATACACAAACAAGTTCTAGAGAATTCAGTGTATTTGATTTTTCACTGTGCCACTTTTGAAGGTTTGCCTTTGGGTCAAAGAAACATCAATCATAGGCTCACAAGGTAACCATTATTGGTTATGCAGTATACTAGGATGTTTAAAGCACAAAAGTGAAATGGTATCTTTTTTCAGGAGAATTATATCAGCATCCATCATAGACCCTTTTTCATCAACAAATTTACCTCAAATAGTTTTAACACTATCAAACATTCAAAGCCAAATCCATTCTTGAGCAGTATATGCACATATATATGGTCATTGATCCAATATAACTAATGGTGATTCCATGACAATTTCTGGCATTAAATTACTCCTGCAGATTTTCATAGTTAAAGCTAAAAGGAATGATCTCTCTCATTCAGAATCTTACCAAAATTCAGTGTACAAAATGTATGGCATACACAGACGATAAAATTTGAACGCACAAAAATGGATATAATCATCAAGAGGAGCAGCGAAAAGTATGATGATTGTCTTGACTCATAAGTACTTATTATGACAAATAATCTTAACTTAGTAGGAGCAGCTGCTCAGCAGTCCTAGATTAAATGAAGATAAAGCAATTATTTGTAAAGAGGAAAACACTAATGTAAACTAACGAGTACCAATGAAGCGGGATCTAGTAGATTGAGTAATTCTCAGCAGCACCGGGATAAAGCTTCCGGTAGATGGCAACTGCGACAGGAAGGATGCCTGCGAGTGCAAGAGAGAGATTGTCCGAGCTGCTAGTCCTCACCGAGATCTGGCCACTGAGTTTGTTGTTTAGTCCTGCCCGAACAGCCACCTTTGAATTACGGCCAGTAGAGAATTCAGCCAAACCGTTGAATCCCATTGCGAAATCCCCTCTCCATTTAATCAGAGACATACTAACTGTAGATTGAACCTGACCAATTGGGTAATCCGCTTCCCTTCTCTGCAGTTCAATATTGGCTCCATAGGCTGTATCCTGCTTCGATTTAACCACGCCCGCACTGCCAACCAGACCATACTGCCTGCCAAAAGTGATCTGATCTTCGACCTTAAGCCCAGTTACTATATTTTCACCGAGGAACGTAACAGATACTCCACCAGATGTCTTGTTCTTTTTCAAATTCTTGAACTTTGTTTCACCCCGAACAATATATGCGAGCTGCTTTCCAATGTTTTGAATGTCAAAACCTGCCATGCTTGATCCATTCTCTCCGTGTTTAGCAGAAACAGAAGAGTCTAAACTTATAGTGAAATCTTTCTTGTCTTTATTGACTTGGACAGTAATTGCTGCAGGGAAACGGTTTGCAAATGCTCGACTGTGTTCTATGTTGACACCTTCATAACCACAATCATGGTCCCAGCCATGTGTGTCCAAAACTGGCCTCGCTAGAAACTGTGATGTTGACTCCAAGAATCGATACCTGAATGTAGGATTATCGCCATCAAAGGAAGGAGGGAGGACCATATCAGGTAACGGAACGGCCACGGGAGCAGGGGCATCTTCGTCATTGTTGTCATATTCGAGTGCAGCAGCACTCTTGCCTCGGGTTTTCATCTCTCTCATTCTCCTCAACTCTTCTCTCCATTGCTTCTTCTGGAGGAGTTTCACTCGATAGTCATACTCATCAAAGTATGCCCTCTTTTGTTCTTTACTGAGATTCGCAATTTGAGCTTTCCGGAGAGGCTTAAAGGGAGGAAGCTCGTCATACTCGTCTTCTCCTTCTTGATCAGAATCAGACAAATCATCCAAGTCAATATCAGAATCAACATTATCCCCGCCCTGTTCAGCAGATAGCTTAGGATGGGCACGTGATTGTAACATTGAAGACAACATGTATGGAAGAGGCGGTGAGCGGGCACGAAGACCAAATAGCCTACGGTGGTCAAATGGATCTTGAGGCTTGGAAAGAGAATTCGCTTCAGCCAAGATCTTCATTGAATAGCATAGCAACAGTAACTGTGGCTTCCAAATCTGGCCATTAGGTAGTATCCTCTTCCCCTCCCTATTCCTTCGACAAGCAGGATGGTTTTCAACGAGAGAAACGGGATTCATCATACTTGGACTCATCATATGTAGATCTCCCATAGCATGCCCGATAGACTGCTGAACAACACGTGATCTTTGATTAACAAACACCTCATAACTCAAAGGAGAACCAGTAGGCCCCTCGGGAGGTGCAGAAGCTGCATGTGTCAGGGTGACAATGGAACTTCGCCAGATAGCAGAGCCAAGGGAGCTCGTGATAGTCTTCAGTAGCGGTAGATCATTAAGATCTCTGGTTTGTGCATCCAATCGATCTACATAGAGGACAATATCTACTGGATTCTTCTTTGTGAACTTTTTAACCGTTGCCAAGACACTTCGGTTGTAAGCCTGTTCCATAGCAGAGGATTTCAGCCCAGGTGTATCAAAGACCCGAATCTTGACTCCATCTACACTTGCACATATTTCTTTCACACTGGTAGTCGCAGGTGCAAATGCATTAATTGGAGCCATCTCTTCTCCAAGAATAGAATTTATCGTGGCACTCTTTCCCACTCCAGACTTTCCAAGAACTAGTATATTCACGGAGAAGTCTAGATCATCTTTCCCCTCAGTTTCAAGCTGCAGAGCTGTTGACCTGGCCATATCTAAGCTAAAGACTTGGCTGTTTTGCTTTCCTGCAATGAGTGACAGCCTGTACAGAACCTGGGTAGCTATGGATTCATCTGAGGAGAAGCCCAACCTCTGAACAATTCTAAAAAATTTCACTCTGATGTTCTGCAGCTTCTCAAGCTTCTTCTTTTCTTCTTCAGTCAAGTTGTTCTCGGATTCAGAGCTATTTGAAAGTGTGGGAGTAAAAAGATTGGAACGGTTTGATGGGGGAGCAGCTCTCAGAGAACGGAGTGATGATCCCAAACCAGCAGGACGCTCCACTGAGAATAGCCTAGATCCGTCCTGAGAGGTTATTGTGATACTTCCACCATTAGGGTCAGCACCCGTTGCAGCTTTCAACAAAGCGGCTAAGGCAGAGGAATTAAGCATTTGATTCCCGTCCCCTTCCTCATCTGTGTCTACCTCCTCGTCTGAGTCTGTCACAATCTGTCCATCAATCCTCTGCTCAATATCACGTGAAGCCTCACCTCCTGAATGAGGAACGTGACCCGACTCCCTTTCCAACTCCTCAATGAACTGTCTGGCTGCTTCAGAGCTTCCGAAAACCATACCATCTGATTCCTGATCAGAAATTACGCCTTCTTCTAGGTCCCCATCTCCATTTATCTGATAATTGGTGTCATCTTCACCTCCTGGTATTTCCCGGGCATCAACTTTTGAGCCTTGCTCATCAACTCTGGAAACCTCATCTTCCATGTCACTCTGAATGCTAATAGGCCCGCCATTACTGTGTATAGTATCTGTTTCTTTATCTGGCTGCTTCTCTAGTTCTGTACTTCTAGTATCATTTATATTTTCGCCAAAATGCTCAGACACATCAAGATTGGTAACTTTTGGTTTAACAGTTTCAGTATTAAGACACGCTTCAGATTTAGTCATCAGGTCATCTACTTCACTTACTGTCATACCAGTCACATCTTCGATAAGTTGCTTCATTTCATCAGTTCCATTGATTGATCCCACACCCTCGACAACTGGGACCTCCTCCTGCTTTTCCACATCCTTTCCTTCTTCCCCAACAATAACAACCCCGTCCTCTGAAAGATTAACATTTATGGCTTCCACAACTGTCTCGTCCTCTTCACCTTTCAAATTAACTTCCTCCACCTTGTCCTGATGCACGACAGAGTCCCCTTCACTTGAAGGATTCACAAATTCATTAAACTTCTCATCTGGTTGAACCTCGCTAGCATTTCCATTCAACTCATTAATGCCAGTTGAATTAGGGAAACCATTGTCAACACTAGAACCAGAGCCCTCGGGTTCTTTTCTACTCCTCAATTCTTCATCCAACAATGCCACATCTCCATCAACAATCTTCTCACCCTCCAAGGCCCCAACATTATTAAGATTCTCAACAACATCATTCACCAAAACCTCGGGAGCAGGCACAACCTTCTCAGTAGTATCCTCCAAAACATTAGTTGAAGTCTCGACACTCGAAGCCTCAACTGACTTATCTTCCTCCACTTCCTGACTTTTCACATTGTTTCCCTCTGCTCCCCCTTCACTCACAGCTTCACTCACAGGATTTACAAACTCATCCTTAGAAACAGTATCCCCACTACTATCCCCAGAACCCTCTAAGCCACCGGGTTGAACCTCAGCAGCACTCCCATTCAACCCCTCAACGCCATTTACAAGCACAAGTGAATTAGGGAAACCATTCTCAACACTAGAACCAGAGCCACCCAATTCTCCTCCACCCCTAAATTCTTTCTCCAGCAAAACCCCATCTCTCTCAACATCCTTCTCACCCTCTAAAGCCCCAATTTTATTAAGACTATCGGCATCATCATTCACCAAAACCTCAGGAACTGGGATGCCCTTCTCAGTCACCGGCTTAGACAAAACCGACGAACCCGGCAAAGGGTCATCGGAATTCGCTTCGACAATTCCATTCCCCGTGTTTTCCTCATCCAACGTTCCCTCTTTACTCTCCACAGTTATACCATCACTAGGAAACCCCGCATAAGTGTTACTACCCATGCCAGCAATTTTCATATCTGTATTTCAATAACCAATTTCAGAAAAAAAAGAAGACTCGGTTTCGTAATTACAACAAGAATGAGAAGAAGGGTATCATAGAAAAACCTGAAACTTCAGACGATGGAGACAAAGCTGCTTCCTTTGAGTCCATTGCCTCGATGCCTCCGCCTCGAAGAGTGAAGAAGCGTCGAAAACTAGGAAGCTGGATTCCAGAAAAGCTATTGGTATAGCGAGTTGATAAAAGTGGATAGGGAGAGTGATAGAATGTTAGATAGAAGCCGAGGGGTTGAAGAAGAAAGCGCGAGCGAGCAAGCAAGATAGTTATAGATAGATAGGAGATGATAAGGTTTTGGAGGTTTTGGACTTTCGATTTTGCAGGCCGAAAGAGATAGGCCGAACCAGGCCGAGATATTCTTCTACTGTGGGGTCCGGTCCCTCCACATCCTAATCTCCAACGAGTGGCACTCTCTGCTCCATTATCATCGACCCATTCGCTTCTGGGCTGCTTTGTTTTGGTTTGGCCCAAATAACAACTACATATAATTACATATTCTATGTCTGCAATTAACATATTATATGCATGTAGTTAATATATTATGCGTCTTCAATTTATTTACAGACATATAATATGTTATGTTAACTTCACTGTAGTAGAGTGTCGCGCATCTTATTATAATTGAATTGATATGTGTGTGTTTGGTTCGCACAAGGGAATCGGAATTGAAATGGGAATTAAATTGTTGTTAATGGTAATGAGTTTTGGTGAAAGTATTTTGTATGTTTGGTAGTATGGTGGAATTTGAATGATTACCAATGTTTATATTTGGTTATCTATGATCCTATAATAGGAATAAAGATTTTTAAAATACAAAAATAAAAAATTAAAACAATTGATCATAATAATATAATAATATCCAAATCACCGATATGAATAAAAAAGATAAAAACATAAATCTAAAAGCTCTAATCCAAACTTAAAAATCAAATTACTAATATGATTAAATGATACTCGTTTTTAATTATAGAATAAGTTTTTATTTGAATAGGTACTCAAATCCCATAGTTATATTTTAAAAATTGTTAATCATATACTAACTATGATTTTAATTCTCATTCCTAATGTGTAAATTCATGAACCAAACACACCCATGTGTTCTTAAGCGTGTTTAGTTTTGTTTACTGAAATACAGTTTCAATATTTATTTTATTTATTGCATAAGTAAAGGCTAAATATTTGTCACTCACCATCATAGAGTGTCACACAATTTGTGTTATCTCACATTTTTTGAACCTCTCAACCTTCAAGCTCACTCATTAACGATCTTAGCAATGATTGCTTATTTAACTGCTCAACATATATATTTTTATACCATCTGTCATTACTCTTTTTCATTACAAATTTTCATTGTACTAAAATTATTTGTAAAGTACAATTAACCTACCGTCAATCATTTACTAAAGTAAAACGAGAGATTAAGTTAATTAGAGTAAATGTGTTTGACTCACCAAAAAAAAAAAAAAAAAAAAGTAAATGTGTTTGTATCTCACATTTTCTAACACAATTTGTTTAAGAAAGTTGCTGAATAATTCACGGAGAAAATTATCCATGACAAAAACTTGCCAAGGTGCAACTTGCACCTACCGCGTTACGAGCAACTGGGCATATAGCCGACTCTTTGCGGCAAATTGCTACACTTGCGGCTTTACATCATTGACCACCACTGTCATGACCCTTTCGGATCCCAATTGCTATTCGCCCCATTGCCACAATACATATATAAAATTATATGTTTGGGAAGAATATCTAAAATTATAATTTCTTTATTTGTCAGATCACGATGTCATGAGCAGACTTTAATTATAAGAGTGGGGTTCAAACTCTTGACCTTTTTTAAGAGACGAGAGTGCACGGACATTCACGTCAACCAAACTAGTTATAAAATTGTAGTATTAGGTCATTACAAATACCATATTTTATTGGTGGAGGAAACAAACCATATTATATTTTATGAAATGGGCGAGTAAATTAGTGAAGCATAATAATTGTATTAAAATGTCATGATTATTGTTAACAACTTTTTCGTAGCTCATTCAAGTCACAAGTTCGATTCTTGCCAACAATTTTTCATCACCAAACATTATCAGTTGAACTTTTTAATTTTATTAAATTTTTTTAATCAAATATGGTGTAATTTGGGTCAAATCTTTAAAATCAACCGACTTATTAATTATGGAGTAATTTGAAACTTCATTATAAATTTAGTTAATTTTTTCAATTATAGTGTGATTTAAGTCAAATATTTTAAATATGTCAAACTATTAATTGATTGAATCTTCATTATAAATTTAGTTAAACTATTTTTAAAAATTCAAATTTTATACTCCATTTAAAATTTTATTACCGCTTATATGTCCATTAATTATGACGTTCAAATTACTTAAAAAGTTATACATCAACATCACCCACATTTATCATATAAGGTAAAAGTCTTAACAAAAATGGAATTAATATTTACCCAGTATAATGCCTATAAATAAGTAATTCCAACTTTATTAATTTTGTAATAAGTAATTCCAAATATAAAAAGGGTAATATACTAATATAAGATGATAAAATTATATAGTCGGCTATATGCCCAGGAGAACATCACAGCGACGATCTCGATGGCATAGATGAAGATGGAAACACTGTCATGGAAGTGGACGGCGAACCAGGAGGGGGTGACGGAACCGACGCCGCTGGCGTCGACACTGACTAGTCGCACTATGTGGTTTGGTTTGCGTTGTTTGTGTCTGTTACATCTCTGTTTTGTTGTTTTTAATGTTAAGTCTTATATGGAATTGCCAGGGTGCAGGTGGTAGGGATTTCCACCGCGTCCTCAAGCATTTAATCAAGACCCACAAACCAAGCATCATTGGGTTGGTGGAGCCGAGAGTCTCTGGGACATATGATAATAATATCTGTTCAAAATTTGGTTACAAAGATTGGGTTAGGGTGGAAGTCGTGGGGTTTAGTGGTGGCATATGGGTTTTTTGGAACCATCCCCTTCATATTGAGGTACTCTTTACTCACCCGCAATTTGTCCTTGTGCAGGTACGGGAAGGAGGAGAGGAACCATGGGCGTTCGCTATTGTGTATGGTAGCCCGGTACATCAACTAAGAAAGCGGTTGTGGGATGAACTCCAGGCCAGCAAGAGGATGATTAGTGGGCCATGGCTCGTGGCAAGGGATTTCAATGCCGTCACCTGCCAGGAAGAAACGTTAAATTACAATGCTTACTCTAATCAAAGAAGTTCGGACTTTGTGGATTGGATAAGTGGAGAAGGCCTGATTGACTTAGGGTTTAGTGGGCCTCGCCTAACTTGGGCCCGTGGATCCGATGCTGCCATTTCCAAAGGGGCAAGATTGGACCGGGCCTTGTGCAATGTGGACTGGTGACAAAGATTCCCCGAAACTTTCGTGCAACATCTACCACGGGTCTCTTCGGGTCATTCGCTCCTCTTGATACATACCACAGCAAGAAGAAGAGGTGGGGGCAACACCCAGTTTAAGCTCCAAGCGGCCTGGTTAACTGATCCAGGTTTTGGCGAGGTAGTTAAACGGGCCTGGATCCCAGGTGCGACAGTGCAGGGTAATATCAATAATGTACAGGCACATCTTACAACCTGGAACAAGGAGGTGCTCGGGAGCATCACGACTAGGAAAAGAATCCTTTTAGCCCGAATAGCAGGGATCCAGCGGGCGTTGGCGACTTCGTTTCACAGAGGCCTGTTGAAGCTCGAGGGTAAATTAAAAAGTGCCTTGGAGGAAGTGCTATACCAAGAGGAACTAATGTGGTTCCAACGGTCACGGGAGGAATGGATCGTATCCGGCGATAGGAATACTAAATTTTATCATGCAGCCACCGTGATACGCAAAGCGCAGAATCGAATCCGGGGATTAAAAGATGACTCCGGCAACTGGATGTTTGAAGAAGATGCCCTCCAACGTCATGTCCAGGACTTCTACATGAACCTCTTCAGAGGGGATCAAGGTGCAAACGTGGGGGCCATGGGACGGGGCCTGTTTCCTACTCTTAACGCTGAGGACTGGCAGTTGTTCAATAGAAAGGTAGACAAAGGTGAAGTTAAAACAGTTGTTATCGACATGAGCCCACTAAAGGCGCCAGGCCCAGATGGCCTCCATGCGGCCTTTTACCAAAGGATGTGGGACGTAGTGGGCGACGAAGTGTTTGAGTTGGTAGCTTCGGTCCTTGAAACGGGCAAAATTCCAGAGAAAGTGAATGCTACTCTTATTGTGCTTATTCCCAAGGTTCAGCTGCCAGAAACCATCAAGCAGTTCCGGCCCATTAGTCTATGTAATGTGTTGTACAAAGTGATAACCAAGACCATCACTAACCGCCTTAAATTTGTTTTGCCAGGTTTGGTTGGGCCGTTCCAGAGCTCGTTCGTCCCGGGAAGACAAATCACGGATAACGTGATTTTGTTTCAAGAAGTGCTGCACTCCATGCGCCTGAAGAAAGGGAAAACAGGCCTAATGGCCATCAAAATTGACTTGGAAAAGGCTTATGACCGTTTAAATTGGGATTTTATTAAAGATACCCTTGTTGATGCAGGGTTTGAAGCGGGATGGGTGCGGGCGATCATGGAATGTGTCAGCACTCCCACTATGTCCATTGTATGGAATGGAAATCGCACGGAGCAGTTCAAACTTGGGAGGGGAGTACGCCAAGGGGACGCGATGTCTCCAGCTCTGTTTGTACTTTGCATTGAGCGCCTCTGTCAGTTTATATCCGCTACGGTGAACAGCGGAGCGTGGAAAAGGATCTGTTTGGCGCCCTCGGGGCCGGTCCTATCTCATTTGTGTTTCGCAAACGACATGGTGCTATTCTCCGAAGCAACTATAGATCAAGTCAATGTCATTATGCGCTGCCTGGATATGTTTTGTGAGGCGTCGGGGCAAAAAGTCAGTTTTGCTAAGTCGTCAGTCTATTTTTCGAGCAACACTAATGAGATTTTGGCGCAGGAAATATCCAATGCGCTGCATATGACAAAAAGCCCAGACCTTGGCCGCTACCTCGGAGTACCAGCGATACACGGGCGGGTAACGCACGGGTTGTACAATGGACTGATCGAGAGAGTTGCAGCCAAATTAGAAGGGTGGAAGTAAAAAACCCTCACTTTGGCTGGGCGAGTCACGATGGCCAAAGCTGTTCTCAGTGCAATGCCTATGTACACCATGCAAACGGTGTGGATGCCGACAGGGATTTGCGGTAAGCTCGAGAAGATCACCCGGCGCTTCATCTGGGGGGAAATGGTGATAACAGGGCAATGAGTTTGGTCAAGTGGGACACGGTGACACGAGCTAAGCGTAATGGAGGACTGGGGATTCGTAACCTTCGTGCTGTCAACGTAGCGTTTATGGTGAAGCTGGGATGGCGTATGAAAACCGAACCAAGAAGCGTTTGGGTACAAGCGTTGACGCACAAGTATTCCGCACATAGGGGGATGAGCGGTGCGGCAACGGGAAGCTGGATGTCAAATGTGTGGAGAGGAATCGTTAATGCGGCGCCTACACTGGAGCGAGGCCTAACTAGGGTGGTGCGCAATGGCAGACATACCCAGTTTTGGATGGATAGCTGGGCAACCGACCACCGGCTCTACGACCATATTACTGCGCCACTGCCTTTACCGGAGCTCTACGCGACAGTGGCCGAATATTGGGAGCATGGGCGCGGATGGAAATGGGAGATGCTTGATGCTGCGTTGCCAACAGTGTGGAAAGCGAAGATAAATGCGTTTATCGTGCTAGACGAGAGCGCTGAAGAGGACACATGGGGGTGGAATAAGGATGCACGAGGCAAGTTCTCGGTCAAGTCTGCATATGAGGATATGGAGGAGGAGGAGAACGGGGGTATTGATCAAGATTGGAAGATCATTTGGAAAACTCAGATTCCCAACAAAATGACGGTGTTCCTTTGGCTGGTTAAGCATGGGAAAGTGATGATGAACGTAGAGAGAGCAAGGAGACATTTTACGTTAGATGACTCGTGTTCTTTATGTGCAGGTACCTCGGAGACGCTGCTGCACCTGTTCCGAGATTGTCCGGTGGTGGCAGGGCTGTGGGAGTCGCAGCTCCCCGCGGTGACTGTGCGACGCCTCAAAGCGATGGACTGGAAGTGATGGTTCGCTGCGAACTTACGGGCTGGAACACGAATGGGTTTCCCGGAGGGTTGGCGGGAAGCGTTTGGAATTACGTTGGGTGGTGCTGGAGGTGGCGCAACGCCCGGGTGTTTGAAGGAACGGACACAAGCATCACTCATCGTTGCCACTGGGTTCGCGACCAATGTAAAGAGGTGAAGGCTGCGTTCCGTAACAGATGGGCGCCCACGACCAACTCGACAGCTTCGAGAGATGAAGTCGCTAAGTGGATAAAGCCGGGCGTAGGGTGGCTCAAGTTGAACGTGGATGGCTGTTGCAAGGGAGATTCTATGCGGGCAGGTTGCGGAGGAGTCATACGGGATTGCCAGGGGCTGTGGATTCGAGGCTTCTCCCACCACATCGGGTCATGCTCTGCGGAGGAAGCCGAAGCTTGGGCGGTGCTCCAAGGGCTGCATTTAGCGGCGAATCACAGGGTCCAGAAACTAGTTGTTGAGAGCGACTCCATCAGAACAATACGGGCCCTGAATTCGGTTGCCCAGAGTTCGGGCAGAGGAAGCAATATCCTGTTGGTATGCGAGCAGGAGAGAAACAAATTTGAGGAAGTGCATTTCAACCATGTTATTCGGGAACAAAACAGAGTCGCAGATGAGCTTGCGGCCTCCACCCTCACTCACTCGCTGGGTACAACAATCTTTGAGTTCCCGCCTACACAGCTCAGGCCGTTGCTCTGGGAAGATAAAGTAGGCGTTAGAGTTCAACGTGGAAGCAGTCCTGGGCACACTCATGGAAGCACCCACTAGTTTCTCCTCGGGTTTTTCACCCTCTTCTTGATCAAAAAAAAATATTATATAGTAGCTTCTAATTGATATGTCCCAATTATATGTATTTATTTTATTTTATCAAAATATTTATAAAATACCTTAAATTATTTTAGGAACATAACTATTTACAATTTTAGAATAAAATATCTCCCGTGACATCGCATGTTTTCGAGATCAATTTTAAAAGAATATAATTAAACTTCAAAAGTAGTGTGTCTATATTGTTAAATCGGACGATGTTTTTATAAGATTAAATGATAAATTATACTAAAAATTTGAATTTAATATAAAATTTGAGGAAATAAAATCTAACTAAAGTCGAAGTTTTAATTAGTTAATTAATTAAATGAGTTGCATCATCATTAATTAAATGTTACAAGAGCTGATGTGGCACGTTGTAATCCTATTAGCTCAATGATAACGTCTTAGCCGTTATGTTATTTCATTTGGATTCTAATTACCTTTTATATAATATATACTTTAAATACAGTATTTTTGGCAGTAAAAAGGGAAAAAATCTCAGTATTTCAGCAAGAGGCGGAGCTCGATAACTAATTCCCCGCAATCATTCACCTTCCCAATAGTTTATTTTATTTTAGTTTTCTCTGTAATTTTGCTTAAATTTCATTCCTAAATCCATTTGGGATCGGTATAACTCTCTGTCGTCTGATTCTCTGCAACAAGTTCCTGGATCGATCGAAGAGTAAGATCAGAAGAACATGGTGGAGACAAGGCGAAGCTCCTCTTCCTCCAAACGTCCGCTTTCTTCTCCCTCTTCACCTCTGCCAAACGGGAAACGACCTAAGGTTTGGATTAGACTTTTTGTTTTTGGATATTGAATTTAGTCAGAGATTGTATGTGTGTATGTGTACATGCAGATATGCCCTGGAGAGATTTTTTTTTGAATTCTCTGAATTTTGGTGTGACTGATTGGTTTGATTGGTTTGGTAGGCGGCAGAGGCGTTGTCATTGTCATCAACTAATGACACGCTTGGGGAGAAAACACCGGATGTTCTGAATGAATCAGGTCCCGAATCGGCCGAGCAAGAGGTTAGATCGGCTGATCTGGCTGAAGCTAGTGTTCTCAAATCGGGAGGTGCTGTCGAGCCTGAGAAATTGCCTGAGGTTTCAGTTGGAGGTGAGCCTTTGGTTTTGCTGATGATTCTATGTGGCGATCCTTTTACGGGGATATGCGTGATTTATGAAAGTTAGAATTTTTTTGCTGAATTTGTTTGTTTTTTAATTCTTCATGGGTGGTGGCTGTAGGTGATTCTGTAAGTGATGTGGACAAGGTGAAGTCAAATACGTCTGCATTAGTTCGGGGAAGGAAGCGACAACTGAAATCTAATATTGGAGCTGCATGGGGAAAACTTCTTTCTCAGCGTTCTCAAGTAAGTTTCTTTTCAGATTAACTTTTGCTTAACCTTATATCAACTACTTAAATAAGAAATTAAAAAGCTGATTTTTAAAAATTATTTGCAAAATTCGTCCAAAAAAACCAGTCAGAGTGAGAGCCCACCAGGACGTCAGATTGTTGGAACTTGATAATAAGGAAATGACTAATGATGAGTGATTTGGGTGTGAGGGATATAGAAGATGGGGCATATTATATCTGGAAGTTTTATGCTGAGTGGTGATTTGTCTCCGCAATGATGTTTACTCTGTTAAGTGAACGGTGGGAGGTGCTTGATTATTTACAAATGAGACTTGTCATAGCTATTTTTTCCCTCCAATGCTAAGTAAATGGTGGGAGTTTCTTGATTCTTTACAAATGAGACCCCCTTGTATTTAAACCTATTCCACCTCCTCAATGGATGGTGGAGATCTGTTTAATCATATGGCTACGATTTATTCTCTAGAATCCTCCAAATGTCTCTACACAACTAAGAGAATTCATAAGTTTCTAGAATATTCTATATATCTCTATTACCCTTAGTGCTATGTATATGCTTCTAGAATATCCTACCAACTATGGGATGCTATGTACAACTGTGTAGCAAAGTGCCCTGCGCGTTACACAGTGCATTATAACTTCCTAGTGTAAACTATTTTAATCCCAGTTGTGACAGTAGTTGTCTGTTTTGTTCATGCATAATACTCTAAATAGTTCATCTAGCTTGAAATTATATTGACTTTGTTTATCAAGCCACCCTTTGGCCTGTATTTATGTGGAGTGTGAAAAATATTATTTCATTGGGGAGTGAACCTTACCAACAGTTGAGACCAAGAAGAGAGGGGCTTTGAAGATTTTCTTTTGATTTGGGCTCTTTATAGTCGGCAATCTTATTTGAGAATGCTTATCTGTTGTGCAATTGTTGGGTAGAGTTAGAGTTATGTGGGGTTTAGCTTACTGTATTGTGGTTTGTTCAACCAGCACTAGAGACTCTAATGTTGTTATTTAGAGGCACTGATCATGTTGAATATGGGAGCTTCTCATGTGTTTCGGCTCCTATTTTTACGTGGTCCAGTGCTACTTCACCCTTCCTCTTTGGAGCTCCTACTGCTTAAAGATATTCAATTGAAAATTCCAGATAAAGGATTGACCATGTGGGCCAGACAAACTATATCTAATGTTTGCCTTATGAGATGCCATTTGACTTATGAAAAAGTGTCACTGCCTTAGTGTAATAGAGCCCAGTCTTCTGCTTTCTGAATTAATGCGTAGATGGAGTCTTGCTTTCTTAAAGAAAAATTCATGTTAAATTGGCTGAATTGAGCCCTTTTCCTGTTGCTGGAATTGGGCTCATTACTCCTGCAAGCGCTTTTGTGGACTTAATTTTTTTGTTGTTAAATAAACTTGAAGATCGCGTGATTTTTTGTTGTTAAATAAACTTGAAGATCCCATGACCACCTTTTTCTTATTTCCATTGCCTGATTAAATGGTTCTGGCTTTTGCATTGATATTCATGTGCTTTAATTTGATTATATTTCTTTTCCAGATTCCTCATGTTAACATGTTTCACCCTACTTTTACGGTCGGTCAAGGCCGCCAATGTGACTTGTGCATAGGAGATGCATCTGTTAGTAAATCTTTATGTAATCTGAAGCACAATGAGTCACAGGTGTATACCAGTAACCTTTTTTCGTTATTATTATTATATTATTTCATTTTTATAAATAAATTCTTGTCCTTGTCAATTATTTTGTATTTTCATTGTGATTTGACTGACTTTTATGATTTCCCAAACTACCGCCTCAAGATTGTGCTTATTCGTTTTTCTTTGCACTGTAACCAGAAAGGTATATCCAGCACTTTACTAGAGATAAATGGGAAAAAAGGTTCTGTGCAAGTAAATGGCAAGATCTGCCAAAAGAATTCTATTGTGCCATTGAATGGAGGTGACGAGGTGGTGTTTGGCTCGTCTGGCAGGCATGCTTATGTATCCTTTATTAATGGTAACATTATCATGACCTTGATGATTATTGAATTTTAATTTGCTTGTCTGGTGTAATGAGAGATTATTTATCTGTTCAGTGAACAACCAAATTTCCCCCCTTTTCTTTGACAAGTGAACGGAACATGAATTTCTTAACATATTTTTAGATTTTCCAAAAACTTGGCAATGAAAACATCTCTGCTACAACCATACCACATCCAGTGAGCATTTTAGAAGCCCATAGTGGGCCAATCAAAGGAGTTCATTTTGAGGCAAGATCAGGGGACCCATCTACTGTAGCAGTTGCATCTACCTTAGCCTCATTATCAAATCTTAAGAAAGAGTTATCGCTTCTTCCTCCATCAGTCCATAACAACAAAGATGTAAAACAAGCAGCAGAAATGTCAATACTACCAGCTGCTAGTGGAGTGCTAGATAAAGATGATGCAGTTGCTGATATGAAGGATGCTTCTGATCATAATGATGTATCTCTTGTTGACAAGACAGGCACTACAACCCCTGATTATGCTAATGACAACATGAATCTTGATAATGGTGCACTAGATTGTGTTGATACAGAAATTGGAAAGGCAACTGGGGCATCTGGGGATTTGAGGCCACTCTTACAAATGTTTGCTGGGTCATCTCTTCCTGAGTTTGATTTACGCAATAGCTTAACTAAAATTCTGGAGGAGCAAAGAGGAATGAGAGAATCCAAGGATTTTGATCCTCCAGTTTTGATTTCTGCTAGGCGTCAATCATTTAAAGATGGGTTGCAACAAGCAGTGCTTGATTCCAAGAATATTGAGGTCTCATTCGAAAATTTCCCATATTACCTGAGGTGAAAATATTATTTCCATGCAGTCTTCATTCTATTTGTAGAAATATTTTATATTTTGGCTGCCCCATAGGTCAGATGGCTAGTTTTTAGATCCCAATGTCTCTCTTCATTATGTGATTCTAAATGCTGACTGAGAGCAATGAGTCCTTGTCCACTCTGGCCCTCTTATCTTGAATTTGACCAGTGCCACTATTAAAATTTTGGTTTCCATGTGTTGTCCGTTTTCTTTAATCATGATGAAGTCCAAATCTAAATAAATATGTACACACAAGATAATCATCCACACATTTAAGACAGGTTTAAGAAAATTTTATCATCAAGGCAACAATATGCCAGATGAATCCATTAAATTTGATTGTACATTTGAAGTGATCACATATATTATCCTAGTTGTATCTAAAATAAATAATCTACATATATGAACATGTTTATGCATAATTATAGTCTTCATAGTGTACTGCAATTTTCTTAATGTTGTTTGTTCCTGTTTTGCATGTGGAAATTTTATTTGTCTTTCACCCTTTGTTATCAAGTCTTTTCTTCATCTCGTCAAATTTGCTTTATTTTTCTCTGTTCATATGTTAAAGCTTTGTATTCTGTGTTTGATACATTGCCACAGTTTCTGGTTTCTTAATCCATTATTTAAAATCTGTTATTATTAACAGTGAAACAACAAAGAATGTCCTGATTGCTTCAACTTATGTACATTTGAAGTGCAACAAGTTTTCAAAGTATGCCTCTGATCTTCCCACATTATGCCCAAGGATTTTGTTATCGGGCCCAGCAGGTTGTGCTTCTTTTCCCCTATTTTATTCCCTTCAATCTCTACCAGTGTGATCCACCATTAGCCATCTCATTTCATCAATGGCTTTCAGGCTCCGAAATATATCAAGAGACATTGATCAAGGCACTCACTAAATATTTTGATGCGAGGCTTCTAATTGTCGATTCTCTTCTATTGCCTGGTGTAAGATTTCTTCTATTTGTCTTGTTTTCTTAAGATTCTGTGTTTATTGGATTGCTTTAGCTCACATTTTGAAAAGCTATACCAGGGGTCATTAGCAAAAGAAGTTGATCCTGGCAAAGAAAGCTCGAAGCTTGATTGGGCTCGTTATGTTGCTAAACGGGCTGCACAGGCAGCTGCATTACAACACCTAAATAAGAAGCCAGCTTCAAGTGTCGAGGCTGATATAACTGGTGGTTCTACAATAAGCTCTCATGTTCAGCCTAAGCAGGAGGCTTCTACTGCCTCATCAAAGAACTACACATTCAAGAAAGGTACCTTGCATTTTAGTTTAGTGACTTTAGTCATGAAATATGAAGCTCTCCCCCCCGGCCCCTCCCCATGAAATCATAGTCTGACTTTCCAAATGCAGATAATAGCCTCTGTGATGGGTATAATTAACTGTTAAACTAGGGAAAATTGATTGAAGCATGATTTTCGTGTTCTCATCAACGCATATAATCTTGGCAGGTGATAGAGTGAAGTATGTTGGCCCCTTACCGTCAGCATTCTCTCCCATGCAATCTCCCATAAGGTAACTGCTTGAAAATGAAGTTAGAATTTATCAACAAATCTCGTACTCAGATAAATTCTAACTTCATTTTCATATAAATTTATATATAAACAAACATAAATTTGCAAGCTTAGTATATTAACAAACATATATAAATTGTTGCTCCTGCCTGTGTGGATGTAGGGGTCCAATGTACGGTTACAAAGGCAAAGTGGTTCTTGCATTTGAGGAAAATGGTTCATCGAAGATAGGAGTTAGATTTGATCGATCAATTCCAGAAGGCAATGATCTCGGTGGTCTTTGTGAGGAGGATCATGGCTTCTTTTGTGCTGGTATATCTATGCGTTAATGCATTTTGCTGCTTTAGTATGTTACTCTGTTCTTTGGTATTATTAACAAAGTCTTTTTGTTTTCCTAAAGCGGACATGCTTCGCCTAGATAGCTCCAGTATGGATGATATTGACAAATTTGCCATTAATGAACTTTTGGAGGTATGTGCCAGTTTTATTAGCTATTCATCATAGCAGATTAGTATCTTGAAAGTTCTCCGATTGTTTGAAGATATATCTTATAAAGTTTTTGACACTGTGCTGCTTACAGGTTGCCGCCAATGAAATAAAAAACGGTCCACTAGTTGTGTTTGTTAAAGACATAGAAAAGTCTATGGTGGGAAATCCCGAGACATGTGCATCCTTGAAGGTTAAATTTGAAAGTTTCCCGGAGAATGTTGTTGTGATAGCTTCCCATACCCAAACAGACAGCAGAAAAGAGAAGGTACTGGGTGTTATTATATATTTGTATTTGCTTTACTTTCTGGCAAACTTCACTTTGCATGTCTAACAGAATCGATGCAAATATAATATTAATATATATTTTCCAGTCTCATCCTGGTGGCCTACTGTTTACTAAGCTTGGAAGCAACCAGACAGCACTACTTGATCTTGCTTTCCCGGTATGTTTTTGTCTTTAATGGGGATACAGTGGCTTGTGCTAAAATAATTATTATAGGCATTATTGTAATTACATCTAATCCTTGAACTTGTTTAGTAATTTTTGTTGATCTCATAATTGATGTTTCTGGAATTGTATTTTCCTATGTATTGCAGGATAGTTTTGGGAGATTGCATGAAAGAAGCAAAGAGACACCCAAGACTGTGAAACAGCTCTCTCGTCTATTCCCAAACAAAGTGACCATTCAGCTCCCTCAGGTAAGTTTCTATTTCATGTCTGCTCTTGTGAGGTTTTGACTTTCATTTTCTTTAGGGAATCATTTTTTTTTTTTTTTTTTTTTTTTTTTTGCTGTGGAAGGATGAGAAGCTACTGGTGGACTGGAAGCAACAGTTGGATCGGGACATTGAGACTATGAAATCACAATCAAATCGTGCTAACTTTCGCAATGTAAGTCTACAGTTCTACAGTTCTGCCCAAATTCCATATCCATACTATCTTGATTTATTTTAGCAATTCAATTTGTGACCTTTTGGAGTATTGCATTGTAAAAGTATTTAAAAGATGATTATTTAGGACATTCTGGGCTTCTGGCAATTGGTTTAAATTCTTTATTACTGATAAAGTTGTGTGAAAATTGGCTTATTGTAGCTCATGTTTACCCAATAAAATGTATTTACTTACTCTTTGTGCTTATTTTAACTGTATAAAATTTTAGGTTCTGAACCGTGTTGGGCTTGATTGTTCTGACCTTGACACATTACACATAAAAGATCAAGCACTAACAACTGAGAGTAAGTAGTTCCTCTGAAGTGAAATTCTGAGATCCTATAGATTTACCTCAACATGATTTTCAGTGATACTTTTCTTGCTAATTGATAGGTGTGGAAAGAATTATCGGCTGGGCATTGAGTCATCACTTTATGCATTCTTCAGAATCTTCTGCCAAAGAGACCAAACTGGTGATCTCCAGTGAAAGGTTAATGTCTATCCTTTCCCTTCAGTGTCATTAAGCTTAAGTTGGAATTGGCAGATGAGACTAAGAATACTGAAACTTTTTCGGCTTATTTCAGCATTAGATATGGGCTCAGCATTTTGCAGGGAGTTCAAAATGACACTAAGAATTTAAAAAAATCTCTCAAGGTGACGATTGCTTCTTTGATTCTCAACTGTTGATTTTTTAAAAAGATTTCTGCTGCCTGTATATTTTTTATGCTCAACATAACTGAAAAAACCTTCAGGATGTGGTTACTGAGAATGAATTCGAGAAACGCCTACTTGCTGATGTTATTCCGCCCAGTGATATTGGAGTTACTTTTGAAGACATTGGGGCCCTAGAAAACGTGAAGGATACTTTGAAAGAGTTGGTGATGCTACCTCTCCAAAGACCCGAACTGTTTTGTAAAGGACAGCTGACCAAGGTAATTGATTCTACATCTTTGTTTCTCCTTTTGGGATAGATAGAATAGACAAATTATTGTGTGGACCATAACAAAAAATACATTTTTAATATACTAAATGTACATTATTTGTGTATTGAACGTACATTATACAAAATAATGTACTTTCAGTACTCAAATAATGTACTTTTCCTGAATACAATGTACATTATTAATATACTAAAAGTACATTATTTTATAACATACAAAATATGGTCCACGCAATAATGATTGGAATAGAATATCAACTCGACATTTACATCTCTATAATTTACTCTTGCAGCCTTGCAAAGGGATATTGCTTTTTGGACCTCCCGGTACCGGTAAAACAATGCTTGCAAAAGCAGTTGCAACAGATGCTGGTGCAAACTTTATTAACATATCAATGTCTAGCATTACCTCAAAGGTATCTCTTAAATTCGGGTTTACCGGTTGACATAAAATACTGTGCCATTCCATCTAAATAACATTACTGTTTTTTTTTTTTTTTTTTTTCTTCCAACCTTGCTTACAGTGGTTTGGTGAAGGCGAGAAATACGTCAAAGCAGTTTTCACTTTAGCTAGTAAAATCGCTCCTAGTGTTGTTTTTGTTGACGAGGTTGGTATCATTGCACTATCCTTTTGAAATGGTCAATTTTGTAATTCTCGTATACGTACTTCTTTTCAAATTTATCTTTCATTGAATCATCACTGCTTTTCCTTTCTTTTCTTCAGGTGGACAGCATGTTAGGGAGGCGGGAAAATCCCGGGGAGCATGAAGCTATGCGCAAAATGAAGAATGAATTCATGGTAAATTGGGATGGTTTGCGTACAAAGGATAACGAACGAGTGATTGTACTTGCTGCAACAAATAGACCTTTTGACCTTGATGAGGCAGTTATTAGGAGGCTTCCTCGAAGGTCAATATGCGTAAATTTTATTTTATTTTATTATTCTTTTCCTTTGGTTTAATATGATGGATAGAGTAGAATACAACTTACTCCGTCCTTTTTTTTTATGCAGGCTGATGGTTAACTTGCCAGAAGCTCCGAATAGGGAAAAGATTTTAAGCGTGATATTGGGCAAGGAAGAATTAGCACCTAATGTTGATCTAGAAGCAATTGCTAACATGACTGAAGGATACTCGGGAAGCGATTTAAAGGTTTGGCCACAACTTATTTCTTTCACTTTTGTGAATTTCAGTCCCTCGTTTAAATGCTTCATACCTTATCCTTCTGGCGTTTTCTAAATGTACATCCGACACTTTTCTTCTGCAGAATTTGTGTATTACTGCAGCGCACCGCCCTATAAGGGAAATTCTGAAAAAAGAGCAAGCGGTTAGTTTTACTCAAAAACTTCCAACAATTTTTATGCTTCCCAATATAACAATGCCAGGGCCAATAATTGCATAATGGCACTGTTTGGTAAAAAATTGGCCTATAGGCCAATTTTGGCTTATTTGACCACTATTAATTGTTTGATTTAGTTAAAATATCAATATAAGTGTTTGGTTAATTAACTTTTTGAAACTCCAAAATGCTAAAATTCAAAAAGCTACTCCAAGCAACTTTTTCAATTAGCTTTTTCAGAAAAGGAATTATATCAAACAGCTACCAGCTAACAGCTAATTTACCAAACACTTTTCTCCAACAACTAATGTTATACCCTCTAATTAGCACAATCAGCTAATAGCCATTTTCCAAACAGGGATGTATTTAAGCATTTACTAGTGGTGCGACACTTCTATATATTCGATATCTTATCAATTGGCCCGAGTTTCTTGCATCTTGCTGCATACCACCATAGTTTTATCTAATGGAACACTGCATTTATGATTTACCTTTACACCTTTCTCCAGGAGAAGGTGTTGGCAGTGGCAGAAAACAGACCACTGCCTACACTCCTTAGCAGTTCTGACATCCGCGCTCTCAGCATGGAAGATTTAAAATACGCACACGAACAGGTATGTTATTCGCAACCTAGTCTTGAGCTTCGGGACCCACAAAACCAAGATTCTTCGCAATGCATAAGTACCCCCCCCCCCCCCCCCCCCCCCCAAACTGAGATTCTTTGCAATGCATATAGATATAATATTTGGAGTCTTTATAGATTAGGCAGTCTTAGGGATTCATGTAGGGAGGCATATGATAACTTGTTTTCTATTCGTAGTCTTCTAACACCTATTTATAGGCTTTGTATTCTCTTCTCTATAAGACAGTATACGACAACATATTTAGAAATCCTCTCTTTACTATCGTAACAAATAAGTTTTTGCTCATTCCTCCCGAAATGCAGGTATGTGCGAGCGTGTCATCGGAGTCGACAAACATGAACGAGCTCCTGCAGTGGAATGATCTATACGGAGAAGGTGGATCCAGGAAGACGAAAGCTCTCAGCTACTTCATGTAGAGAGGGGATTTCTTTCTCAAGTGTATAGCTTATTGTAGAGAGATGTTTAGGTAGTCAAAATCTTCTTCATGGTGGGAATGGGGCCTTAATGCATGGAAATTCCAGTTTCAGGTCCCTTTAGATTAAGAATTTCTTTCTTCAACCAGGCGTGTATCATATTTCAATTTAATTTTAATAATTTATAGGTGGTTTTGACTTGTCAAATTTAATTTATTTTCTTATATTGTATCATTAAATTATTACTGATGAGAGTAATTGATGTTTTATGTCATTATTTAGTATTCTTAACAAATTTAAACTTTAAAAAATGTATTGTAAATGTTATTATTTTGTGTATGTGGCTATGAAACTGCTACATAAGTCGTATATGATATCTTGCACATTTCATTTGTGGGGCTTTCATGGCTGCAGAATTGATGCTCTTTACACCAGGAAAATAAATTTCTTAGTTTCTCTAAGGATCTGATCGAGATTTGGTTGAATTAGTCTTAGAATATATCCAATTAAGTTTAATTTGATAAAGTGGCAAATTGAGAATAAGAGGTGCGGTAAATTGTATACGGAACGAGTTTGAATCATGCTCTATTTACTCGGTCACCTTATTCAGGAATTAAGGTTTCTTTTATTATTTTTTTTTTGGTGGGGGGAGGTGGGGTGGGGTACGAGGGGCTAACTGTTGCATTCTTCGTAAAATGCAGTAGTTGATAAATGAGTTGAAAAAAAAAAATTCTTACACCATAAGAACTAAGAAAACAGTTCATTTACAAAATAATGTTGAAGATGTTTGGCAAACAGCAGTTAATTCGAGTAGAGATTATTTGCTATCACTAAACATAAACATAAACATAAACGAAGTTGTTTGGTCATCAGACTCCCATTAATGTGCGACACTGAGATTCCCAGTGCTCCTTTGCTTGCTTAACTCTTTCTTTTCTCTCGTACTGAAGCCGCTCTTCCCAGTACTCGGGACAACTGCAGAAACGCGTTTAATTGTGGATTGCAAGTTCTAAGAACACAATTTCATAAACATTTGGATACTCTTATCTGACTTCTTGTGTCTATGGTAAACATACCTTCGGCTTAATAGCATGTTAAGCTCCTCAAGATGCACTGCTCCTTCGTAGACGCCTCCCTGAAATCAACTCTCAAATAAGCTGAGATTCATAACTTTTTGCAATGTTCTACTCGCCAAAGTTTTTGTAGAACGGGACAACATAGATCATGGCAAGAAGTTCTTTGCTTACCTCTCGGCAAAGAGGGCATTTTTCAGTGTGGTTTGCTGCCTTAAGCCCATCCACGATGGTCACTGATGCGGTTTTGCAAGCACACATGTAGCAGAAGATATGACCACACGTTAAGGATACTGGGTCAAAGAGAGTATCCTGTAAAACCAAACCAGCTTAAGTTGTCCATAGCTGACTGGCTCAAACCAAGAAAACCAATAGACAGCTCCCATAAGGAGTTGAACTTGGTTACCAAGACAACTGTCTGACCAACTTGGCTGAGGTTGTCCCGCCTAATAGTTTACTATGTCTATGGTAGTATGGTGTCACACAATGACAAACACACACAACAATGCCTTTTTCACAACAATCACCGATTGGATTCATGTCGATTTCATATTAAGGTGCAACAGATCTTACATAATACAAAACGATTCAATGTATGTTCACAACAATGCAAGATCCATTTAAGATGTCTGGGCACTTACCAAACATATAGAACAAGTCAAGTCGAGATCAATCTTGATGGAATCGAAGAGCTCACACGAGAGAGATGGTTTCCCGTCTTTGAGTACTAGGGAACAGCCGCCAAAGAGAGCGATGGCCTTCTTCGTACTGGCCTCAGTCTCCCTCATATTAATGTGGAAAGCCATAAGCTCACACAGCCATGGCGACTGAAGTATCTCCATGTGCATACTCTGCGCTTGGGACTTGAACGCTTGGCCTTGCTTAGAGTAGTGAATCTACATGTTAAAAATGGCATCAAATTCACCTCGATCGGTTTTCAAATCACTTAAGCAGCAAACACCGAATTACCTTGTCATATTTCTTGAGTATTTTTCGCACTGCAATGGAATTGATTATAGCATAAGTGACCAAATCCTTTCCTTCTTGAATCAAAGCTCCATGGTTCCCTTGTAATCTGCCTTTAACCCATAAAATACACTTGCTAAAACCCGAGGCAAGATGCAATTCCAGCAATTTCTGGGCACGTTCATTGAAACACCCCACCACTGCAGACATCTCATTGAGAAGTGAAGGGAAAAATGTCCCATCACACACTGCACACCAAATTATAAAGTAATAAGCAGCGATCAAATTGAAACATGGATATGATATTCGAACCCATGACCTCTGGCTCTGATATCAAATTGAAGCAATCACTACATATATTATATGCTCAACAGATCAAAGTGAATCCATGTAATTCTGTATTTCAAGTCAAGATTAACCAGTATCAGATCGAAAGATGCAGAAAATTCAAACCTTTAAGACACAGAGCCCAGAGTAGAAACAAAGGAAGAAACATAATCAGAGAATGGAGATAAAAAGAACAGAACCCAGAGTGAACATTAGAGCAATCGACCTGAATTTCTTCTACAAACGATTCGATTAGAAATGAAAGACGAGATTACCGGGGCACTTCTTGGGGCAAGTGGAGCTGTCGTGTTCTTGAAGCGGGGCATGTGAATGCAGGTCTCTCCTACACCTCTTTAAGATCTTCTTGAGCTTTTTGAAGCCCACACCGGGCAGCTTCTTCTCCATTTGCCCCTGCATGTACTCCTCATATTTCTTGCAAAATTTCATCTTTTTTTCTTTTTTTTTCACCCCTTTGCTTTCCTCTGCTGCTCAAAACCAGTAAACCGATCAAATCCTGGGGAAATGGAATGGATTTTGAGCTTAATCTCAGAGAGTAATTCTGCTTTAATTTATTCACTCACTGCTCTTTTATTTCATTTGTTTAAATCCCAGAAACCCAAATGCTTCTTATAATTCCCCTCATGCGATCTCCTTCTATATCTCTCGCTAAAACGGTGGTCAGAACGACACCTCCTGATGGCGCCACGGAACAGGTCAATTTCTAGGTGGGCAATCGTGGGAATCTCGCGTCCCATTAACGTTAGAAAGGTGACATTCCTGTTTAAGAAAAAAAATATATTAAATAAATAAAGAAAAAAAAAAAGCATCCAGCAATAGTGTCATTGCAAAATCTTACTATGTAAGGATATTGACTACCATAAAAGGAAGAAAGTAACAACCATATCTAAACAACATTTTGGTAGGTCAATTATAAATAATTTAAGTTCAATTATTTTCTTTTGGTCTTTTATGGATTAAAATTATAAGGTGAAGTGAACTCAATATTCATTTTCGGATAATAGTTGTGAATTTTCTTCGTCATTCAAAAAAAAAAAGAAGAATGAATTATCTTTGTAAATAATATAGTATGAGCCCACCAAATTGGTCGAGACAAATTATTCTTTAGAGGTGCGCAAATTATGCTGTGGACTCGTGTTCACAATGCATTGTGGACACGAGTCCAAAACGACGTCGTTTTTAGGAAAAACACGGCATTGTAGTTAAAAAAAATTTGATTTTGTCTCGCCGTTAACGGCGTTATTCGTTTGTGGAGTTATGAATATACAGTTATGGAATTATGAATGTACAGTTATGGAATTATGAATGTAAGTTATGAAATTATGAACACAGAGCTTTGACATTATGAACTTACAATTATGAACATATAGTGATAAAATTATAAACATAGAGCTCTAAAATTGTGAACATAGAGTTTCGAAAATTATGAATGTACAGTTAGGGAATTATGAATGTACAGTTATAGAATTATGAATGTACAGTTATGGCATTATGAATGTACAGTTATGGAATTATGAACACATAGCTTTGACATTATGAACTTACAATATGAACATATAGTGATAAAATTATGAACATAGAGCTCTAAAATTGTGAACATAGAGCTTCGAAAATTATGAATTTACAGTTATTGAATTATGAATGTACAGTTACGGAATTATGAATGTACAGTTATTGAAGTATGAATGTACAGTTATGGAATTATGAACACAGAGCTCTAACATTATGAACTTACAATTATGAATATATAGTGATAAAATTATGAACATATACTCCTATAACGAAGCGGTCTGAAATTTAAAAAAACAAAAAAAAGTGAAAGATAACGGTGCCACTAACGGCACCGTTACCGTGTCCACAACACATGCTAGATACGTGTCCATAGCATAACGATTGTTAGAGGTGGAGCTGGGCCCAAATATTCACAATTTACATTCTAAATATTCATAATTATCTTTTAAAATTTACAATTTGTATACTATGAACATAAAATGTTAACATATATATAATTGATTACCTTGTTTTGTATTAACAATTTTTTTTTTCAAACAATGCAGTCACACAATATTAATAGTTTAGGATTTGATGACCATGTATTGTATTCACAAATTCCATTTAGTTGTTATGTGTTTTTGACTTAGAAACACAATTTATATTTTAGAAATTCACAATTCCAATACTAAAAATACATAATTTATACGTCGTTTAGGACCAGAGTACACCTTGTAAGGTGGATCCTGGTCCATGGTATAACAACTTGTTGGTCGAAGAATTATCCAGATTATAAGCTCATAATGGTAAAAATATCAAATGTGGATTGGAAAAAAAACTACAAATCATAAAAATATTCATGTTTTGGTTTTATGCAAAATAAACACAACATTAACGTTCAAAATTATGATTTTTTTTAAAAGGTAGAATATTTGTTTGGATATGCAAAGGAATGAAGGATATACTCACTGTCAAACAATAACAAACGTGAAAGTTTCAAGAAAATTACTTATGTAATGGGGAATGTTTGGAAAATGTCAGGAATATTCAATTATATTAAGGTAGAAAACAAGAAAACAAGTTAATTGCCACCCTATATTACATTAGTCCTGTTTGATAACATAGTTAGCTTATCAGTTTATTTTGATTTTTTTTATTTTATTTTTTTTTTGGGAATAAGGGGAAGGGGTTGACCCTAAGGTCATTTGCTGCTCTCGGGAGCAAAAGACCTAGCACAATCCTTTCTTAGAATATAATGACTCTCAACTCTGACGGAGGTGTGTGAAACTCAATCCAATCGCATCGTCTATTCGGAGTAATTTTAGCAAGCCAGTCCGCCACTTGATTAAACTCTCGGAGTGTATATTCAAATCTTATCTCCCAATCTTTCGAAAGCCAGCCTTTACACAGCCTAGTGAGGTTGCCATAACACCTCCACAACCTGTGATAGCATTCTGGCTAGTGAAGGTAGCATCCGTATGAATGTATGTCCAATCTTCTTGGCCTCCACTTGTAGCGCTTGGACTCGCCCACTTCGCAGTTATGCCTTTTCCCCGAGCAAAAGCACACATTCTTTCCTTATTTTGATCTTGCAGCCATCTGATCTTCTCGTTCTTCTCCCAGCTTTCGCCCCTGAACACCAGGTTGCAACGCCATCCATCTCCAGATCAGATCCACCAGACAGCTAACGCAAACAAACCACTCCAGTCACCTTCCTTGTAATCCATCAGGCGACCATTATTAAGTGTTTGACTTGATTAAACAATTAATATGAATGTTTTATTATTTAGCTTTTTGTAATAACTTATTACAGTTTCAAAATGCTAAAATTTAAAAAGATACTCAAGACAATTTTTTTGATAAGTTTTTTTAGAAAAGTCATTTTGCATGTAATCAGCTATAAGTTAACATAAATTTACCAAATATTTTTTTACGATTATAATCAACTAGTTAAATTCATTAACAGTTATTTACCAAACACACCCGTTATTAAATTTAGATGCATGATTTAGCCGTTTAGCTAGAATTACGCAAGCTACAAATATTTAAAATTGCCACTAAACCTATAAAACTTTATATTACATTTTATAAAATGTGGTCTGTCCGTCTGTCACAATTAACGTTACGTTATCATAACATGGGTGTAATTTAAGTTGACAAGCAACCTTAGCTTCCTAGATTTCATTTTTGTGTTTAATTTTATTAGGGTTTTGTGGCTTTAATAAAATATTATATTAGTCCTTAGATATTTTGTGCATATCTTTGAGTCTATAAAATAGTAGATATAAACATTCTCTTCGACAATATATTTTTGCATGTAATTTTAAGACTATACAATAGATTTACCTTTTTCATTTGAGAGAAATTAAAGCTAGTAGCATATTTTAATGATTAAAGACTTCTTTAAAATCATGAAATATAATAGATTTAATTATCTTCATTTTGCAAGTGACATTTGTACAAAGAAATGGATCAAAAACCTTATTCATAAAAAAAAATTATTTCAATTGCAACATAAATATTTCAGGTATAACCGTATAAGTGAGGTTAAAGTATGTATCATCATATACATTTAAGTTCTAAATTTATATCTTAATGTGACATGCATGAAAAATAACATTTTTCATAAGGCCATTAAGTAAGTATATATATACCGCTTTATTCGAAAGGCTCTAATTAAACTCAACACAAAATTGATATTTTAATTTTATATATATATATATATATATATATATATATATATATATATATATATATATATATATATATATATATATATAAAAGGTCAATCAGTACATAAGATTATGCACTATGATTTACGCAATATTAATTACCACCCCACACACATATATATAATTAATTATATAGTGAAATGCTTGATGGCCGACCAAATATATAAAATGGACTGCAAATGGTGGTAGTTGAAAAGCTCCATTTTGATTATTTATGACAAAATATCTTAAAGTTGACATTACTTTTTGTGACTTAATTGCATTGTAATCTGTATAATATTTTTTGAGAGTCTGTAGAAACCATCCATGGTGGCTTGAATTGGTGAAAAATCCACCATTTAGCGTGTCTGCTTAGCTTTAATATGCTTATATTATTATGTTATCTGATCTGGTGATTATGGTAGGGTTAGTCAAGATTGCATCATATCATTATTATACCTTCCCATCTGCCCATAGAATTTACACCACATCAACAAAACCATCACTCCTTTCATACCCTAAGTCAAGATTGCACTATTCTTTTCGATATATATGTATTTGTATTTGGATTTGACGTGGTAAAGTAGATGGATACATATATGATGTTACAGTACACAGATCAGAAAGAAAACAACACATTAGTAACTTCTTCTTTTTTTTTTTCAAAAAAGAACACATTATTAACTTGATTTAATTTCTTTGAAATTATTAATTTGAGTAAGCCGACTCACAACTAGCACGAGCTAATCAGGCTAAATTTATGAGGACAAATGACTGAAATGAAAAGAAATGAAAAGAAATTTTTTTTAAAAAATGTATAATTAAAAAAAAATTCATTCGAAACATGCGTTTTTTGTCAAAACGCATCTCCTAAATGAGCTTGAGAAATTTTTAAAATTATATGCCAAACGCAAGTGGCAACTTGCAATTTTCCATAAAAATTTTGTAATCGATCCGCACGGGAGAAGGCTGCAGACAGGGACATAAAAATGATTGTCTTTAATTTCTTGACGGCAGCTTAATTTTCCATTTTGAGGGGTTTTGGAACGACAGTGGCACGGAGAAAAAGTTTAAGTTGCTTGGCGTGTAAGGAGATCAGAGCACACCATAGATTTGGTAATTGGCCGATAAGATCTGTACGTGTGTCGTGTCAGATTTCAACCCAGACTTATCTATAATACCCTATAGAGCTAAACAATCAAATTATTTTTTGCCATTTGTTGGCCCACTTTCAAGTGTTTCTGGGCAGCATTTCATTGGGGCTGAAGGCCCAATAAAATGTTTTAGCTTTGAAATTTTTTTTAGCTTTCTATTACACTATTAGCTTTCTTAATTTGATTCGATTCTGAATAATTTAGACTGATTTATTTTCTCTATGATCATTCAAAACGCACTTTGGTAACATTGGATAGACTTTATTGGAACCTTCTCTTGTATGAAAAAATCAATTTAGTCAACACTTTGTTTTTTAATTGGGCTGGTCCAGTGCGAATGAGCATTAATCTGACTATAATACCGACTTAAATGTGTCTCATACAGTTAAAACCTACTCATGACACCTTATAGCGTGACAATTTTTATTTTTATTTTTTGTATTGGATCCATCCTAATAAAATCGTGGGATGTAGGATTACTTTATATGACTTTAGCATATATTTTAAGAAAGTGGAATAGCATAAGATTCAAGTTCTACTTAATAACGGCATCTGATCTTCTTCAGAAAGTCGGGTTTCTGTCGTTACTGTTGTTACCTGTCAAAACTATTCTTCTGATCTGCCAGCGAATCAAGTTCTCTTCCCTGTCTCACTGTTTCTGATCACACGTTGTTTCTGTGCTCTGGATCATACTAGAACACCCTTTTGTGTGTGCTATAAATAAATTGTTGACTTCTCAAACTATCTACATATATATCCTCCGATCCAAAAACATCACCGGACTCTTGAGAATGGCGGCGGCGGCGGAGAAACCGGTTATGGTGGTTGCAGTTGACGACAGCGAACATAGCTTCTATGCTCTGGAATGGACTTTAGATCACTTCTTCACCGGCCCCGTGTCGCCTTTCAGGCTTGTCCTCGTCCACGCCAAGCCTTCTCCGGCTAGCGCCGTCGGCCTCGCCGGGCCCGGTAATATAACCCAAGAGCTTTTAATTCTTGAAAATTATGATTAAGCTAGATCGATATGATGTTACAGAGGTACGAGATTCTTGTTCTTAAACCTTAAAATCTTGCAGGCGCTGCTGATGTCTTGCCGTACGTGGATTCGGACTTGAAGAAGATTGCTGCGCGGGTAATTGAACAGGCCAAGGAAATCTGCGCCTCTAAATCGGTAATTTTTTTTTGGATAGTTTCAGTTCTTGACAGACTAATTAATCATTTTATTGTTAGTTTTTAATTTTTTTTTTTTACTAAATTTATGTTTCATCGATCGTCGCAGGTTGATGACCCCATGGTCGAGATCATGGAAGGGGATGCCAGGAATGTCCTCTGTGAAACTGTGGAGAAATACCATGCCTCTATCTTGGTTGTCGGCAGCCATGGCTATGGAGCTATCAAGAGGTAAACACTAAATACATTTTCTGTTTTTGTTTATCTAGTTACTAAAAAAAAAAAAAAAAAATTAGAACCAACCATTTATCATTATGCCAAAAATTATAATTTACAGTAAAAGCTTATTTTATTTCTGATATATTGTCATCACATTTTCAACCATCAATTGTTAAATTTGACCCTCCACCCAACAATCTCTTAGTCACCAATGGTTAGACTTGGCCGTTCACGAACTTCCGCCTAACAAAAAGTCATATTAACTTCTAGCGAGAGCAATTTATTGGCCTTCATAGTTCGAATAATTATAAACAATATAGGCTGATTTATCTCTTCTTGTGAGTCTTTCCTACTAGAAATAAGGCGAAATTTACCTTATGCACACTTTCAAACGGTGAGTGTAGATTTAATTTCTCTTGTTCTTAAAAAAAAAATGATTTTCTAACAGTGATTTTTGCTGGCAGGGCTGTTCTGGGCAGTGTAAGCGACTACTGCGCTCATCATGCTCACTGCACTGTCATGATCGTGAAGAAGCCCAAGCACAAAACTTAAGCTGCAAACATCATCTGCCCAGATGAGTCCAGAATTTATGTTCCAGACTACATAAACCATTGTCTGTCTGTCTATCTATGTGAATTGCTTGGTGTATGTATCAACGTCAGAGAATAAAGGCTTGCTTAGCTTTAATATACTTGATAAATAATTGTTAGCTGATTGGGTTAGTGAATTATACATTAATATATTATAGAAGATGTTTGGTAAATTAACTTTCTCAAAAAGTTAATCGATTTTAAATTTTAGCACTTTAAAGCAATAAGCTATTACAAAAAGCTAATTAATCAAGGATCGCTAATTGACTAATATTCTACCATTATATATCTTCACCCGAGTCACCCATTCTGATGGACTGAAGGTCTTAGTTCTAGACGATTATGGACAAGATAGTGTTACTACAACCAATGTCGTATACAATGAGGTTTCAATAATGTGTAAATACAATAGTTGATATTATGTTTTTTTAAATAAAAAAATTGTTATATACCTAGACAAAAAAATATATTTTTCATACAAATGAATTAAGATAGCAATTCATTCTTATAACTGAGTTGCTAGAGAACGAGCACATGCATTTACCTAATTTATGTATATAAAAAATACTAAACAGATTACATGGTCTGGCTGTTTCGATCCAGGAGAAGCTGAAGCATTAAGTGTTCGTGAGGCATTGAAGTGGATTAAAACTCTCAGTTTCAACAGCATTCAACTGGAAACGGATTGTCTACCGGTTGTTAAGGCCATCCAGGATAATCATGCTACTTCTTCTTTTGATCTGCTTATAAACAATGTGAATCGGTCTACGAATAGGGTCGCCCACGTACTTGCTAGGGATGTCCTATCCAAATCAAGCGGATTGTATCTCGGTCCTTTTCCCGCTTATTTCTCATGTTTTGGACTCTAATTTAGCTTAACATATTTGCATTTTTCTTCTCAAAAATAAAATTAAGAAATACTAAACAATGATAAATAAAATTTCCAAAGTTACAGCACTACATGCATGCATCTACACATTAACAATTAATTTGAGCAATTATTTACAATTGCTCAAATTCAAGCAATGATAACATCAAAACACACAAATGATCCAAATCACATTTTCAATTGCATTATATAATGAGTATTTAATGTTCTAATTTAAATAATTATATATTGATCCAAATATTCTTAATTTATTACAATAAATCCATTCCGTGCATCACACGAGTAAAAATAGTAGTACATGTAAATATGTAATACAAGATTCCAACTTGTAGTCCTCTTGCTGGTCACTATGGGGACTGAGTTGTCTGTTAAAGTATTAGCTTTCTTAATTTGATTATGTTTTTTGGTGAGGTTAATTTGATTATGTTAGTTATGAATAACTTAGACTGATTTATTTATTTATTTATTATAGTCTTTTGTAGAATTCAAAACGTAGTTTGTTAACATTGGATCGGCTTTATTGTAAATCAAAAATTTGTATTGGATCCATCCTAATAAAATGGTGGGAAGGTAAGAACAAAGTACATGTTGGCATGTTGTAACGGGTTGCGTATATTTAGGATTACTTTATATGGCTTTAGCATATTTTAAGAAAGTGGAATAGCATAAGATTCAAGTTCTAGTTAATAACGGCATCTGATCTTCTTCAGAAAGTCGGGTTTCTGTTGCTTTTTTACCTGTCAGAACTATTCTTCTGATCTGCCAGCGAATCTAGTTCTCTTCCCCGTCTCACTGTTTCTGTGCTCTGGATCATACTAGAACACCCTTTCCTGTGTTATAAATAAATTGTTGACTTCTCAAACTGTCTACATATATATATCCTCCGATCCGGAAACTTCACCGGACACGTAAAGTGGTTGAGAATGGCGGCGGCGGCGGAGAAACCGGTTATGGTGGTTGCGGTTGACGATAGCGAACATAGCTTCTATGCTCTGGGATGGACTTTAGATCACTTCTTCACCGGCCCCGTGTCGACTTTCAGGCTCGTCCTCGTCCACGCCAAGCCTTCTCCGGCTAACGCCGTCAGCCTCGCCGGGCCCGGTAACTGAGGAGCTTTTAATTAATTCTTGAAAATTATGATTAAGATAGATCATATCGATGTTATAGAGGTACGAGATTCTTGTTCTTGAACCTTAAAATCTTGCAGGCGCTGCTGATATCTTGCCACATGTGGATTCGGACTTGAAGAAGATTGCTGCGCGGGTTATTGAACGGGCCAAGGAAATCTGCGCCTCTAAATCGGTAATTTTTTGGATGGTTTTAGTTCTTCCCAGATTAATTAATCATTTTAATGTCATTTTTTTTACTAAATTTATGTTTCATCATCGCAGGTTGATGACCCCATGTTCGAGATCATGGAAGGGGATGCCAGGAATGTCCTCTGCGAAACTGTGGAGAAACACCATGCCTCTATCTTGGTTGTCGGCAGCCATGGCTATGGAGCTATCAAGAGGTAAACACTAAATACATTTTATGTTTTTGTTTATCTAGTTACTAAAAAAATTATTAGAATCAAACACTTATTATTGTCAAAAGTTATAGCTTACAATGAAGGGGCGTTTTATTTCTGCCATCACATTTTTCAGAAGTACTTAGCCCTTCACTAGCCTCCGACTCAACAATACTCTAACCACTAATGGAGTAATGGTTAGACTTGGCCCCTCCACCCAACATTTCCTAAACCACTAATTACTAGACTTGGCCTTTTACAGACTTCTGCTCAACAAAAAATCATATTAACTTTTAACTGAGCAGTTTATTGACCTTTATAGTTTGAACCCGTCAATTATATATGAATAGGGTTAAATTTACCTCATGGACACTTTCAAATGAGTGTGAATTTAATTTCTCTCATTATTAAAAAAAAATGTCATATTCTAACAGTGATTTCTGCTGGCAGGGCTGTTCTGGGCAGTGTAAGCGACTACTGCGCTCATCATGCTCACTGCACTGTCATGATCGTGAAGAAGCCAAAGCACAAAACCTAATTAGTTGCAGACATCATATGAGTCCATAATTTCTGTTCCAGATTACATAAACCATTGTCTCTCTGTCTGTCTATCTATGTGAATTGCTTGGTGTATGTATCAATCAATATAATGCCTTGATGCAATATGCAACAATATATAAACTCATATTATCAATCTTATTCGCATTCTCATCTCAATAGGAAAAGTACATGAGAATCTGAGTAGTAATATAATAGACTAATATTTTGATATAGATCCAAAATGTCATCCAACGTATGTAGAAAACGTTAGAGTCCATGAAACTTAATTATTCAGAATCTAATAAGATTTTGGACATTTTTCAGCTTAAATAACCGCGCGATTTTTCTGCAAGAACTTGGCATACCAGTGCTGAGAGTACTTGGGATATCGCGACCGTTCCTTGTCATCCAAATCTACATAGTACAGACCGAACCCGGACTTGTAGCCACTCAGTAACTCCAAACCATCCAAGAGTGTCCAGGCAAAGTACCCAATAGTGTTCGATCCATTTCTTAAAGCAAAGACAGCATATATATGAATAGGGTTATATTTGTAACCTGCAGTTTCACTATTTCCCTTACTCTAATTCAGACTTTAATTAGTATATGTATATATACCTTATAGCATCGAGAACAGTCCCGATGAAGGCTTGAAAATACTCCACTCTTGGTGTATCGTTCAATGTCCCATTGCGTATCATCTGCTGGCCTGTCAATCAAGATTGTTTGTAAATATTAAGGTTTATTTATGCTTCACACTGCTCTGCTCGATCTGAAAGGTGGAATTGCAGACGTTTACTAACCGTTTTCATGAATATATATAGGCGGGTTGCCATAGAACTGCTTAAAATGCTCTAAAACATTATAAAGACCTTCTGGCAATACTGGAAACTGAAACAGATAGACATGATCCTTTATAGCCAACTGCTTCAAGAAAATTCGAGTTTTACATTATGAAATTATACTTTAATTTGCTCAGCTTACCTGGCCCGGAGGTGCATTATCAGGAACTAATCACCAAAAACCAAAAAACAAAACAAAACAAAACAAAGGATATCAGTAACTTCAGCAAGTAGAAACATTGACAGGTATATGTATGTTTAATATTTATATCTGAAGTCATACAAATGACAGATACTCCAATGTCATTTGAGAAGCTCATGATTGCGTTTTTAGAACTGTTGTCTCTGTCTTTGATAGTGATTGTAGTATAGTGGTTGAGGCCGATGAAGTCTGCTGAACCCTTGACTTGGTTAGCTTCATCCTCGGTGAAGACTGGCAGCCGTGTGCCAACGATGTTTTTCATGATGTCGGGGTAATCTCCGAATATCAATGGATTAATAAGCCTGCACTTGGAAAACTCTAAGCGGGTCAGAATTGAAGGACGTGTTCCATCTCAACTAAAAGATTAAAACGTGTTATGTAGTTTTCGGCTTTACCATCCAATATAGAAGGCACGCAGCCGTTCAACTGCAGCAAGATCCTCTGTTGAATTCGAATAAGGAGCAAGCCCGTAAGTGTACATATTAAATCCTATGGTACCATGTTGGGTGGGCTGCATTATGGCACGACATCAGAGAACTGAAAGATGTGTTCTGTCTCAACTAAAAGTCTAAAACCTTAAACTGAAAGTGACATTATACCAGTGTACTAAAGTACCTGGTATTTTGTTCTGTAAAGGTTCACTGCAGACGCATGTGCAAGTAACATGTAATGACCAGCAATGTATGGTTCTGTTGATGAGTTCCCTGAGGGACAGTAAATGTAGCTACAATGCATTGGGGGTAAGAATCCTTCATCGTAACCTCCCATGATAAATACATTGGGTTCGTTTAAGGTTGTCCAGTGCACAACCCTGTCGCCAAACGCCTTGAAGCATTCATCTGCATATGCAGTGAAGTCCTCCCTGCAGATGGAAACAAAAAATATTAAACCACCTCTAATTTGCATTTTTTTTTTGCACCCAATTTGCATCTAGCATACACAATCTTTCTGTTAACCCATCCTTGATATTCATCTTCAAGTGCCTGTGGTAGATCACTGTGACTTAGTGTGACATGTGGCTCAATTCCTACGAGAAACGAGCAACCAACTGTCAGCTTAAGCTTTTAATCAAGACGGAACACATCTTTCAAATTTAAGGAAATCACCGTGGCTGATAAGTTCGTCGATGAGATTGTTGTAGTACTGCAAGCCCTTTTCATTGACAGGTCCTCTGCCATCTGTAAATCACCATTTGACACCATATTTGAGTTTCAGACTAGGTGATAGGAAATGTCACTACTGGAAATTATGGAATTTCCGACCACATCTTAAATCAAGTCGAAAGTCTTGTTCCGACCACTTTTGGTATCCGGAAAAACCTTTGTTGTTATTTCCGACCACTCTTTCGACTTGATTTAAGATCACTTTGTGGTCGAAAATTTCATAATTTCCAGCAGTGTGTGGGGCAACCCAGCCAAGTTGGTCAGGCTGTTAGTTTGGTAGCCACAAGGTTCTAAGTTCAACTCCCAGTGGGAGCAGCCAATGGACAACCTAGACTGGTGTCAGCTATGAGTTTTCCGTCATTCAAAAAAAGGTGATATATATAGGAAATGCACATGGAAGCTAGCTAACATACTAGGAATAAGTCTTGACCATGAAATGGAGAATCTGTAGGCTTCCAGGTTTGTTTCAGACATTAAACGGACATCTTCCTGAACATATATACATCATTCACATGATGATCAGACAATAACATTATAACAGATTTATGTGTTTCCCACAAGAAACCGAATATCATATGCATGCATAACTACAAAAAGGACAAATTCACTCACCTTGTATTTGTGGTACTGATCACAGGCTACATCCCCATTGGCTCCACCATACATTCCTTGAAATTAGAAGCAACCAGATTGTTCCAAAAAGTTACGTTATACGATACAACTTTTCATTGCAAACCAGATTACAGTATGAAAAGAAAAGAAAAAAAAATTGCAGAAAGGTATGTTTAAGGCTAGACCTATATAAGCATAAGTATCCCAAATGCTAGGAGTCCTTCCATCTTCAAAAGCTGCTCCTTCAACCTAGAAAATTAAAGATGATGATACCTTATTTGTAACGAATGAATTGTGTAGTATAAAATAAAAGAAACATGGGAAACAGGAAAAGAAACACACTTGATAAGCAGAAGTTCCTGCCCCAAAAATGAAACCAGCGGGGAAGTCATCCCTGGTAAAATTCCCCACCCCAGAAACCAAAGGTGAAGAAGAAAACAAGCAAGAAAGCAGTAGAAGATGCAGCGTAATCTTCATCTTCATCTTCAGCTTGGTTTCAGTGCTAATAATTTATTCTGATATTCAATTCTCGATGCAATTATATACTCCATATAAGATGGAAATCGTACGTCCTTGGTTTGAAATGCCAGAGAATAAAGAAACATTTGTTGGCTAGCTTTCTCTATCAGCTCCGCTGCCTGCTGTGATACGGGAAAAATTAAAGAAAACACTTTAATTTGCTATATTTTATTTCCTGCCGTACTAGGTTGTTTTGTTGAAGAAAGGGTCTCTCTGCGGGGCGGATCTAGAAAATTATCTGCTGGCATGGGATGAAGTTTAGATGACCTTCATATTAAGGTTCAAATACAAAAGGATCCCTCCGCTAGTGTGTCAACATCCTCAAGTGGGATGGGACTTGAACCTTGATCTTCGTTTAAAAGGGTCAAAGTGATGATGTAAGATACTTACCATTTTTTGTCCTTCATTATTTCTTTCTTTCTTTCTTCTGTACTAATTAGACATGCAGTTTAGACCAAATTAAGAGCATTATCTTTCTCTAATCTATAACACGTACGTACACTAAATATATATATATATATATATATATATATATATATATATATATATATATATATATATATATAGGCAACACGTGCTTCATATTATGTTGTAGAGAAAGGAGGGGAAAACTAAGGTTGTTGTTTGATGTACAGAAGAAGAAGAAGAAGAAAAGAGAGTTGTTGAGAGTAGTTTACCTCATTGCCATACATATTTAATTAATGAATTTATTTATTTTTTCTGGTCTGTTGATGTTATAAGTTATAACATGTATATGTTATGACATTTTCTAAGACCAAGAAGGACCATATTACATACCCTTTAGTGTTTGATCCATTTCTTGATAAAATGCAACACAAGTAAAGTGTTGAGTATTTTTTATTTATTTTTTTCTTTTTGAAACAAAACATAGGTCTGTGTTGATAATTGACTTCTTCCTCTTGCATTTGGTATCTTTTTATCATTAGCTTCTTTCCAACATTGAAGATAAGCAAGCTATGTCTTCTTCCACTATATTCATAGAACGGTCTCTGTTACGTTGTTGTTCCATAATCTCTCATTTATGATGTTTCATATTCTCAAGCAAATTATCATGAGAAAATTGTCTAAATTTTCATCCAAAATACAAAGTTTTTTCAACCCATTCTTGAAAAGAATCATGATGATCTCTGCTAACATCCCGGCCTAATGTTGTTCCAACACCTTCTAGCACCTACAGTGACCAAACGAACAATTTAATTTAGTGAGATCAATACACTAATTTAATATTATTTTTAATGATATAAAAATACAAATATAGATTACATTGATTGATAAATGTCTTTATTTATTGCACACAATTTAACTAACTAATCAAATGTTACCTTTCATTAAAAAATACTTATCCATCAACCCATGCAATGTCAAACCATCTCTTTTTTGTTATAGTTAGAGTATAAAATATTTATTGTATATAAATAATGAAATTTCACATTCTCTAAGTATTCAATTTGTCTCAATATATAGTAGTGAAATATCCTATTTTTTATACACCAACTCGAATCACTGACTGATCAACAGATATAATCAAATATTGCCTACTGAATTATTTAGCTAAACTTGCAACCTTTTTTTTTTATGGGCATCATGTTTGCCAAGTTTGACGTTGAAATACTATTCTGTTCCGTTTAACGTAAAATTCCTGGGACAGTGACAGACAGGATGCGGAAAATATCCAGTTGCTTTCCCGGTTCATAAAATAAAAATCAAGATTTTCTTGCTCATTCTCAACACAAGTGGTTGAGATCCATAGATTGATGAAGCAGCGATCAATGTCGCCCAAAACCCTGGATCCAAGGCGTGCTATAGAGAACTGTATATTTCACTTGCACAGTTGGAGGCCATTTCAGGTTCAATCCAAAACCCTAGACTCCTCCGATTCCGCTAAACCTTATGCTCCCCAAGGCAATGGCTTCTTCAGCAAACGCCCCTGTCGTGCCGATCGAGCGACGGCGTTCCCGATTGACGCCCTCGACATGTCGAAGCTCAGTTTGTTCGACGAAGACCGCCCCTCCTTGTCCGCTCACAAACGGGATAGCGGCATCCGCTGGATCGCTCGGAAGCGGCGCCGTCGCGGCTCCAGGTCGGTCTCCGGGAGAAGCAGTGACCGCAGCGGGACGCGTCTCAGGTGCTGCTCCGTCGGCGCATCGGCGGCTTGTGGGACGTGCTCTGATTTTCCGATGGCGCCTGGGACGGATTCGAGCGGGGAGCTTTTCGTGAATGGGGATGTGAATTGGGCGTCGGATGTGAGTGAGGCGACGAGGAATTCCAGGAGGGAGAGGGATGCCGAGAGGGAGAGTTCGATTGCTGCATCCCAAATTGGGAATAATGCTGAAACCCAAGGTGGTAATGAGTCCGGGTATGGAAGTGAACCAGGGTATCGAGGCGACGGCGAGATAGGATATGGCGATGAGTTCGATGAAGAAGAAGATGATCAACGCCTCTTATTCTGGGGCCATGAATTTGGAGGTATCCCCTCAACTTTTCTCAATCCTCATTACTTTCTTTCTGAAATTTTGCTAACTATATCTAATGTTATGACCCAATTTGCCTTGTTTTAATTTTATACAGTTAATGTTCATTGCATCATAATTTCACTTTCTACTTCAATGACAGCCAGATTTTTCAAAAATGAACAATCAATCAACAAGTTTAGTGGAAAAAGATTCTAATTTCTAGCTAAAGTATAATGCCTAATTAATAATGGTCATGAAATCTGGAATTTCTTGAACCAAACTTTTTGTTATCTGAGGTAGGAGAAAGCAGTAGCTATTTCAGGGATACAATGTCGGGTTATGGACCTTCCATCTATAATCTGACACTTGGTTTCGATCAACAATCTTTGGTTTACACTTGAGTGAAGGAGAAGATGAAAGTTCGATAACTTGGCCATGAATAGAAAATAGGGATGAAACGTCACACTATGATAAAAGGGCATAGATTAATGTAATACTTGAATGTATGTCAAGTGTAAAGAGCAGCATCAGAAATTGAAATTTTCTTGAGCAAACTGTTTCTCTTTCGAAAGTTAACTGAGAAATAGTTTAGTGTCAAGTGGTTGGAATGAATCTATACGACATGGTACAACCTATGCAGTCTGCTAGGTTGTTCCTTTAAGAGTTCAAGTCATTAATTTCAGGAAATTACACTGTTATAACTGGTAACGTTTTATTCATTCCGTGCTATATATTCTCAAGTCTGAACCTACCAAATTGTTGCTGAATGCTTGTATATTCTACAGCCTCTAAAGCGGAGAAGATGGGCAAGAACGCATTGCAGAAAGCTCATCATAGATGCCGGCGTAGGAAGCATGACATCAAAATGGTAGATCTCATGACATAGCAAAGTTTCATTGGCAAATATGTAAAGCTCAGCTGCTGATGTCACAACAACAACACTCCATTTGTTCTTGGCTGCCCCCAGCATTTTAGTACAATCTGGAAAGTTAAGGATGTCTGTAATCTGGATATGCATATGCTTCAGTGTGAGTGTGATGAGATATATATATATATGTTGTATTTATAATGAGTCCCTATTTATTTATTTATATGGTATACTGTTGTAATCCTTTGAAATGTCCAGAAAAATGAGAATGTTTTGTTTATGTGAAAAAAAAAATACAAAAATTTCAAATGCCAAAAAACTTTCTTTCTCTGCCCTCCGCGGGCAGTAGGTTTTTTTTTTTGAAGGTCAACCAATATGATTGTGTTTATAGATAAACTGAAATTGAGTCTGGTGGGACATCGTTCCAGTACATAGCTGTAGCCGAATTTAAAGTTAAAGTAGCTAAAGTATGTGCTAATAAATTCTGTAGTCTAGGAATAAAATTGACTGAGCAAAAACTTAAAGTAGACATAAAATTCCTGCAACTATCGATAGTATATCCAACATATGACCTGGACGGGGTATTCGGTGCGCATAGGTAGCGTTTGGTAGTCAGTATGTAGTCGTATTGAATCTTCGCCACATCCTTCGCCACATCCTCTTAACCATGATAAAACCTCTTTACATGCGTATGCCTCAGCCATGAGTGAAAGCCGAAACATAGTGATTGTCGGCATCTAGTAGTGCCGCCCCCACCGCTGCTGAGCTGGCATCCTGGTGATAGCTTGCATCCATAAAGCATCTCCTGGGTCTTGGTGTTCCCGCGGGGTGGTCGGATTGTGGCAGCGGCGGTTGATGCATGCTTTCGGCCACAACGGAGACCACCGGCTGGAGGCCATCCTGCTGTGCGGCGTGACCGGTTCCATCGGCCGTGTGGTGGCCCCTTGCGGTTGATGTGGGCGTTCGGTGGTGGAACGTGTTCCACGCTTGCATAGTGACCAAAGCTGTCACAAGCACCATCTTTGGCAATGGTAGACAGGCATCCCAAACAGCTCTGTTTCTTGCTTTCCATATATGATATAAAATAGAAGCTGCATACAATATTCCATTAGTGTCTAGAACATTTAAGAGTGTACTAAACCATTCATGGAAAATATTTGTCACAATGTTGGGGAGTGGGAGGCTAGATTGGCTCCAAATGGATCTTGCATAATCACACGATACTAATGAATGCAAAATATTTTCATGAGCAATTCCACACATGGCACACATCGGGTCCACCTCTACTCTTTTTATAATCAAATTGCTCTTAGTGGGGAGGATATCACTTAAAGTTCTCCATAAAAATATTTTCCCAGGCAGCCAACTATAATGTCAAAAGTTTGCCTATTATAGAATCTTATAATTAAATGTCTAACTAACTTAGTTGGAAACTAATTAAACTTGAAGAATAGAATCTTGTAGAGCCTGCTTCCATCAAACATATGTCAAAGTAACATATATAAATTGTAATTATGGGAAACATTTTTTTTAAAAATAATAATAGAGCGGAGGGCAATGTGGTAAAATAAATTGTAATTATTGAAAACATTTTTTTTAAAATAATAATAGAGCGGAGGGCAATGTGGAAAAATCACTTGAAATTAAGCATCTATATAAAAGGCATCGCAAGCCGGAGGAGTTTAAATTGAAAACTAAAATCAGGCATAACGTTTCCAATCAGCGAGAAAGGGAGGGAATGAGAGAGAGGATACACGAATTTGCCGCTACATTTTTTCACCCTCCGGCATCTAATCTTCACCTGATTTCTTAAGGCAGTATAGTTACATACACTCATTGTATAAACTGATATTGACATTCATACATCCATATATATATATATAAAGAGAGAGAAGAAAAACTAAAGGGCTATATTTATATATGGCATCGGAGCTGATCTTCCGAGGTCAGGAGTCACAGCCTGTGACGGACGCGTACACCCCGAAGCCGGCGAAACCGTGGCTGAGTTTGAATCGGTCAATTAGTTACATGCTGCGTGAGCAGCGTCTGGTTTTCCTTTTCGCCGGCATGGCCATCGCCACCTTCATCTTTGCCCTACTCCCGTCGTCTAATCCTCCTTACAGCCAGGGCTACGACACGATCTCCGCCTCGCACTTGCGTGCTCACCCTCACGCCCGCCTCATGTATCAGAAGCGCATTCGATTCGAGGCGTTAAATTCTGGCGGGAAGATTCCGCTGGGCCTGCAACGGAAGGGTTTGAGGATCGTCGTGACCGGTGGTGCAGGCTTTGTGGGGAGCCATCTGGTGGACCGTCTAATCGCGAGAGGCGACAGCGTCATCGTCGTGGATAACTTCTTCACCGGCCGGAAGGATAACGTGATGCACCATTTCGAGAACCACAGGTTCGAGCTAATCCGACACGACGTCGTAAAGCCGCTTCTGTTAGAGGTGGACCAGATCTACCACCTGGCTTGCCCCGCATCGCCCGTTCACTACAAGCACAACCCCGTCAAGACTATCATATCCTTCCTTTTAATTATTATTTCTGTTCTCTAGCTGTTTTGATATATTTTTTATTAATAAAAATCCCGTCTTGACACATTACATTACAATAATAATAATCCTTAATTCTCTTGGTGATTCTGGGCGCTTCACAAGACAAATGTGGTCGGAACTCTGAACATGTTGGGATTGGCCAAGAGAGTGGGCGCGCGGTTTTTGCTAACAAGTACCAGCGAGGTGTACGGTGATCCTTTGCAGCATCCTCAGAAGGAAACTTACTGGGGAAACGTCAATCCTATTGGTGAGTAGAACATGCATTACTTTAATCATTAAAGTCCATTCTTTTATCTGTGAATCAAACTGTCCTAGCTCTAACTTAAGTCTGAGATTATGGTTTCAGGTGTGAGGAGCTGCTACGATGAAGGGAAGCGAACTGCAGAAACACTGACCATGGACTACCACAGAGGAGCTGGTGTTGAGGTTAGATTAGTTTCTTGTCGGAAGTTGAGACATTTAATTTGTTAATGATTATATATGCAGTGTGGGCAGTATTGATGATGATTATGTATAATGTTACGCGTACTGTATTTTTCCTGTTTAATGAAATAATCAAAAGCCAAAACTATATATATTGTGTCAGGTGAGGATTGCCAGGATATTCAACACATACGGTCCCCGAATGTGCATTGATGATGGTCGTGTTGTCAGCAACTTTGTTGCTCAGGTGATGTTTTTTAATTTCTCTTCTTAAGTTTTTATTGTCAAAGTTGATTTAGTAGATAATTAAGGATTGGTTAAATATAATGTAGGCCTTAAGGAAGGAGGCAATGACAGTTTATGGTGATGGGAAGCAGACAAGAAGTTTCCAATTTGTTTCAGATTTGGTAAGTCATTTATCATTTATCAAGGATAGAGATCGATGCTTTGTTTTTGGTTTTTGGTTATTATAGTGTTTTCTGCACATACACCTTGTGTTCATGCATAAAGCTGGAGTCTTTATACATTTAATGTTTGGTTAAGGTTGTCTTTTGGAGTGGATAAGCTCCAAAGCAAGCAACCTAGGCCAAAGAGCAGCAAGAAGGGTGGTTATGACTTATGAAGAACAAAGAGAAGACTAATGCATGTGTGTGTTGGTTCTTTCTTTTTTCATTTTAAGGTTGAGGGACTGATCCATTTGATGGAAGGAGATCATGTTGGTCCTTTTAATCTTGGGAACCCCGGTGAATTCACAATGCTGGAACTTGCTAAGGTAAAACTGCTCATATCCACACGACACGACTGACTTTAAGGTGAACTCGAATTAGTCTTATAATGGTACATCGTTGTTGTTGGGGCAGGTGGTCCAGGAAAGCATTGATGCAAATGCTGAGATAGAATTCAGGCCCAACACAGAGGATGATCCTCACATGAGACAGCCTGATATCTCCAAGGCCAAACAACTGCTTGGGTGGGAACCCAAAGTGGCCCTTAGGAAGGGTCTCCCTATGATGGTACAAGACTTCAGGCAACGCATCTTTGCTGACCAAAAAGACCACTCTACTACTACTACTACTTCCATACAAACACCATAGCTTCTCAGAACATTATACTTCATCAGTGGCAGAGCCCAGAGCCCAGAGCCATAGCCTCACCTTCCCAATATACTTATCATAATCATAGTTTCTTGATTCTAGTTGTGTAACATGCCCCTCGAATGTGAATTTTGAAATGTTGTTTTAGTACTCGGGGATGAGATTCTTTAATTCAATTATATAGATTTTACAGAATAGATATTAATCTCTAGCATGAGCAGCTTTTCGACAAATGTCCACAATACAAAAACACACCATAGCCTACCAAGAAGACAGTCTGGGAAATAGACTAAAGTCACTAAACACTGCTAGCTACAAATGATGAATTTCTATCAACCTTATTTAGACAACCTCAATACTCCCTGCTTCATTGATGTCAAATGAAGATACGAGGTGAAGTTCTTCCCTGGTACAATGATGTCTATTTCAATTTACCGCGGCCCCTGCACATACTGTCACTGGGGCGGTGCTGTTTTGTCTAGCAGAGCTGTATTTCTTGGTGATGAATCTGATGTTTAAGCAAAGGAACATGCTATCATTAACCGGTGAAGGAACATAAAACGAAATAATAGCTCAAATTTATGATGCATTACCTGAAGAAATCTCTCCACATCAGCTCATACATCAACCAGTTTGGTCCAGTGCCACCGCTACCACCATCTTTCACTTTAGAGGCAACAGGAAATTTTCTGCAGACCACGCGATAATGCTCTGTTAGAAACATAGCAGACAACGTTATAGAAAAGAATAACCAAAACTATTGTTAGTTGGTTGCCTTGATGTAGACTTCTTCAACTCATCAAACATAGACCGAGGGGAGAGGCATCCCATAGCGAGCCAGGGAGATATTTTGCAGGAAAAGTTTGCACCGTATATGCTATCGTTTCCACCAGTCTTGTTTCCTTGATTCGGTTGCTCTTGGCATTCAGCTGCAAACTTCTTAACTCTCTGCAAGGCTTCGCTCTCTCCTCCAACAAGGGAAGCATTAGCAGCAGGCTTTCCATTCTGCAGGGAAATTCAAATCACACTTGCAACTATAGACACAGCAGAAATCTCAAGAACATATCATGGCCATATGCAACTAGCCAACTATGAAGAACACTTCCAAGACATTTGTCTAATAACACCAGACATAAATTATATTTCTTTTTTTTTTTTTTGTCAGACCACAAGGTGTCTTGTGCAGGTCCTAACGGTAAGAGGCACCTTTAAGCCCGTAACTAAACCCGTCAGCCAAATTAAGGGACAAAGTGCTGGTCAGATTGGTTTTTCCATACGAGATGGAGTTCGAACTTCAGACCTCTCTTAAGGAACAAGAGTGCACAGCCACTCACGCCAAGAAATACAGCTCTTAGGACACTAGCCCCCGAAGAACAAACCAGCCTAGGTTGTCTATCGCTCAATGGCTCAAACTAGGAAGGGCAATTCATAGCTTACTGGCCCCGAAGGACAAACCAGCCTAGGTTGTCTATAGCTTAATGGCTCAAACTAGGAAGGGCAATTCACCGGCTCAAACCAAGAAGACCAATTGAAATGAACTGGGATCAAATCATCCTAATTACCTTAACTCATCTTATCAAGTCTTTTTTCCATGGTTGCAATAGGCGCTAGGCGTTAGTCGGGCGGTAGACTAGCGCCTAGCGCCTAGGCGGGGCCTAAGCGGTCGCCTAGGCGGCTAACTGAAAAAATGAAAAACAGTGTACGTTTGTAGGTGCATATATGTCATATTATACATACATACATACATACATACATACACACACACACACACACATATATATATATATATATATATATATATATATATATATATATATATATATATATATATATATATATATATATATATGAAAAGAATTGGCAAGGTCGAGTCGGCCGGGTTAACTCGGCTAACTCGACAGAAATTGACGAATTAACTCGGCGTAATCGGCCGAGTTAGGCGCCCCTAGCCAAATTAGGCGCTAGGTCTCCTAAGCGGGAGCCTAGGGAGGAAATCGCCACTGCCTAGGGGCGCCTAGCGCCTAGGCACCGAGGCCTAGGCGGGATTTTTTCAACCCTGCTTTTTTCAAATAAGGGAACATTGAGAAAGTAAAGAACAGAAGAGAGAAGTTCACCTGGCTCATTGTAGCAGTAGGATTGAGACCCAAATCAACCAAAGATGGGATTTCTCCAGTCTCAACATCTCCTCTAGCCGGCATTCCCCTTAACTGATCCAAAGCTTCAATGGTCTTCCTAACCTCCAAGTTCTGAACTTTTTCCTTAAACCCGCCGTAGTTTGTAGGCATTTCTTCAAGTTTGAAAGGCAAATCATCAACATGATACAATGTGCTTCCCCAGAAGAATTTCACATCGATGCCTTCATTCTTCATCACAGTCTCAATCTTGTCTTCGGACTTAACTTCATCGTGAGAAATTTCGCGGTGAGCATACACTGCCTCGGCGCCGACGGCCTTGGCCAGCTCGACGAGCACCGTCTCCGGCTTCCCAACTCTGACGACGAGATTAGACCCTCGCGCCTGCAAGTTCTTCCGGAGGTCCGAGACTGACTCAATCACGAACGTGGCGCGGTACGGGCCGGTCTTGTCGAATCCAGAGGAGGACTTGCCGTAGTCTCTGGGGTCAAAGCAGTAAACAGGCAAGACCGACATGGATTCATTGTTGGCGGCGTTGAGGCACTCGTTGTCGTGGACGCGGAGGTCGTTGCGGAACCAGACGATGGAGGCTCGGCGGAGGGCGGCGGCGTTGGAGGGGTCGGAGGGGCGGAGAGGGTTGAGGGAGAGAGGGCTGTGGAGAGGGGTTGCGGAAAGAGTGGATTTGAGGAGCGGCTTTGTCGGGGAGAGAGAGGCGGCGAGGGAGAGGCGGGAGAGAGAGGAGATTTGGGAAGGGATTTTGATTTTGTTGGGGCTGGGAGCTAAAAGGGTGGAGATTTTGGGGGGGTTGAGGAAGTGGGTAGGGAGGATTGTGGATAAAGATAGGGAGATAGATGCAATGGGCGGTGAAGGTGTAGCAATGGCGGCTGCCACCTGGGTTTGCTCTTCTGCTTCTTCATTTTCATGGGATGGAATCTTTTTAGGATCCATTTTCGAGAAATCTTTGGAGAAGAAGATTCAGTTGAGAGGATGAATGATGATAAAGGCAATGCGATGGGTGGTGGCTCCTCCTCCTCTCAGGGTAGTTGGGCCTCCCCTTACTGCCCTGTTTTGTGTGGTCTGTGAAGTTGAAGAGAGTTTGGTGGGGATGACATTATAAATATGGAAAATGCTGTGTAATATCATTTTTTATTTTCAATTTTTATTTTTACACTCATTTAATGTAAACACTTGTATTAAAATTTACGGGAAAAAAAAACTTATCAGAATCTGTCACATCATATAATAAAATTTGATATTAAGCGATCCGCTCAAACCACCTCACAAACTCTTGTCAACAAATAAGTCCAACCCAACTATTCACTAATGTGGAACTAATCAAAATTCAGCTCAACTTTACTTTTTTAAAGAAAATTTGGCACCTCACAAACTCTTGTCAACAAATAAGTCCAACCCAAATTCACTAATGTGGAACTAATCAAAATTCAGCTCAACTTTACTTTTTTAAAGAAAATTTGGCTTAGTCACTTAAAACATTATGAAACGAATTCACTCACTTACATTTATTAAAAGAGTCTGATTCAGAACTCTTTAACGTAACACACATTTAAAAGATATTTATGTATAAGATGTTCATATTATTGTGCACTATATTTCATATTGCATACATATATATTAATCTTCATTTTTTAGTTTATAAGGAGTAAATAAAACGAAACGAGTAGGAAATGGGGTGTTGGTGAAACGAATCGCCCCATTTCTGTTTTCTTCTGCCCATGATGCGTTAGAAGAGAACATTAATATGATTCACAAATAATTTATAATATTGCGCAGTATAATAATAGTCCAATAATAAAATAGTAAATTGACAACTAATTGCCAATGTGATGATATTCGGCAAGCAAGCAAAGGATCCTGGGCATAACATATGATCCCACATAGTATAATTTAGGAGTTTAGGAGACATGTCACACAAAGTGTTCTTTCTTCTTTTTTTTTTTTTTTTCATTTTTTGTGGACAGAAAAATCTGTTGTGACTTGTGAGTCATTTTTTCTATCAAAGCTATATACATGTCAAGTCACGGAATGTTAAATGGCTTACATGCATTTTCCATTGAAATGGTGGGGGCTTTTGGTTCTTCAATAATTCATGCAAATTATGGAGCGGTGGGAAACCGCAATCATTGCAGGTGTGGGCGAGGCCTGACAACGTTCAATACGCCTCTTGCAGTCACCTGGTGAGATCGTACAACAAACAAAGTTCAGATTTTTGTTGAAGAAGATGAAACTCGAGTGATAGAAACGGCTCTGCTTGGGATATTTACCTCGAAGAAAGAATTGAAGTTGAGGCGCAAAAGAAAACGCCTCAGGAATGGCGCTCTTTGGCTCCCGGCAAGCCTGCTACTTCGCAGTATAGTGTATAAGGAGTTTGATTTTTTGTTAAATTCCTGAAGAATTTCAGCAAGAAATGTGGGTGGTGTCAGAAGAAAAGAAAACTAGGGGCATGGTATAATAATTACATGAAAATGTGATTTGCTAAAGAATGTGCAAGTACAGGTGTCACAATCATGTTATTTGAGCCAAGTCATACCTCGGCAATATGCTCTAACTCATCAGTATTTCCACTGTCCTCCTGATTCTCCATCTTCCAGCAAAATTGCAAACAAAGTCTCATTATGCCATCCAGAATCCTCGAGACAGAACCAATATCCAAGAAAGATTGTGAAATTAATGCAGCCAGGTACCTGCAAGTCAACCATGTTCATATAGTGGATGCGGTGAGCATTAAACTAAAATCAGAATTCACTACATCAAACACGTAAAACTATTTGTGTAAGTAGGTTTTAGTATGAAACACATTATAAGCATATTAAATTTGCCCCATAAACTTAAGCTTTCCTCTTTACTTACTCTTGATGGAAGCCCACAAGTTCTGTGAAATCATGAGAATTCTGAATGTGAGACTGCAAAACATTCCACTGAGATTCTATAACGTCCACCTGGGAAATTAAAGAAATGTCAAATAGGCATGCTATGATTTCTATTTCATAATGATAGCATACTTCATTTGCATACAATATCCGTGTAAAGCATGTACCACAATGAAGTTAGAAATCACACAGATTACCTGAATATAGAACTGAAGATTTTTTATCAAGAAAGCCATATGCTCTCTTACATGCCACATTGGTCTAATATGTTGTCGTCGATGTTGTGATGCTGGGGATTTTGAACAGTCATTGCGGTGCTTAGCAAATTCTGAGTGATCTTGATGCATGTAAGAAGCCCATGATTTTTCCAATTCCATTTGTGTCCGCTTAAGTCGGAGCAAGTACTGGAAAATTCGTTGGTATCTAGAGCAAATTGTTATTAGAACACAACTTTCACAAACCTTAGTAGTGTGCATGGATGGTAAAAGGTTCAATCGGGAAAAAATACGTTTCAGCTTAAGACTTCACACAGTAGAAAATAAAATGAAATAGAGGTGCTTGGTCTTACTTTGAGAGGACTTCCTGTGTAATGAACAATTGCAATGGCCATTCAACAGAATATTCAAGCGAAATGCCATCCCATCCATCAAGGGACATCTCCAAAGAACCATCAGTTTGCCCTCCCAAATCCCCATCGGCATTTACATTTGCCTTTGGCAAATCAAGTTGTGCTGATTTGAGAGGAATTCCAAAAGAAGGAACCCTAGAGTTGGAAAACAGAAGGTTTCTTTGAGCAACAATCTTGAAAAACATCTCCACTCAGAAATTATGAAATTTTAAGCAGAAGCTAACCGCAAAGACACTCTAGAAAAGTATTTGTCCTCTTCTCCAATAGTCTTAAGTGCAGCCTGCATAGCAGTTATCCTTGTTACAATTTTGCAGCTAGATCCAGCAATTATAATTGGGGAAACATATTGATGAAAAAGCCAGGAAATAACAAAAAGAAACGATATGTCAATGTAAAGTCAGTAATCACAAAGGCCAGAAATCTTTGATAATCATTCAAATTACTTGTCAATCCTTTTTCCAAGATATGCATCAGAGGTAAGTGGTCTAGAAAATGCACCTACCAGTTGGAAGGGGGCCATAAGATCAGCTTCTGCAGTGGATTGGCGAGGTGGTAAACGCATGAGCTGGCGACTCTCCTCAAGGAAACTCTGGCAGATTAGTGCACAATATTTTAGCAACCAATTGATTGCTTACAGGTTACTAAGAACTATACGAGTAGTTAAGAATATTACTTACCTGGAAGAAATCACCTTTCGCTAAAAGAAAATAGTCTTTAAGGGCTTTTAAGTGGCCATTTAAATCTGCACGTACAACTACAAGCTGCAAAATTGAAGGAAATTATACAGGACTATCCAAAAAAGAGATAGGTATTAAGTTTTGCAAATTGGCACCTGCCAAAGATGACTAGCGGCAAGTGCTTTAATTGAGTCAATAGCAGTTTCAAATGATCTTTTGTGGAACTCCGATGACTCCTACACAAGGTAACCAACATTTTAGCCTAAGCACACAAATAACACAAGAATAAAAGTCATTATTACAACAATAGAAAATCCTTCAAAAAAAAAAAATGACAATCAAATATGGACATCTAGCTTTCAGGAGGCCAAGATACTGTTTGCAAAATCAGCTGGGTTAGTCTATAAGACCTTTAAGTCTTGAAGCAAGGATTCAATCTTATCAGCCTCAGACTGTGGGAGTAAATCTTCTCCAACTGACTGAACATCCACTGAGTTCTTCTGGGAAGAAATCTTCTCAGTGAATTCTTGGATCTTTTGTGAACCTCTTTGTGTCTGCTGATGTGATACTACACTATCAAATTGAAAAGTAGGACTAGGATTTCGAAGAACCCTGACAGCCTTTCCAGCAAAACAAATAGACTCTGCAACACCCATGGGGATATAATCTGGAAGCATATCCTGTAAAATAAAAATAAAAATAAAAATAAAAAAATTAATTAATTAATTAATTAATTAAAAGATTTAAATGCACAAAATTCCAGATGTTTTAGGTGCAACAAATAGCAGGCTGGATGAAAAAGAGTAGTCATGACTGTCTGATCAAGATTTGATCTTTAACATTACAAATTTCTATGCCAACACTTAAGTAATAGAAGCAAGTTTTTACTCAATGTATGGGAAATCACAGAGTTTTCTATAACCAAATAAATAAGAAATCATCTATTTGAGTTTTCCAATCACAATTATTCAAAAAGAAAAAGAAACACAGGGTGACAACAATCACCAAAATATATACCAGAATATTATTGAAATAGAAGCTATTAATTATTAAATAAAACAACGCAATCTTAAGATACCAGTGAGATATGGAAGCCCAAGTGCCAATCAGATAGAGAAACATCACTAGTTGACAAGTGTGCCAACTTCTCAAGCACATCTGAACCTGAATCTGTCTCTGAATCCTTGTCATCCTGCCTGAAAAGAAAAATACAGCTATACATATTTGCCTACAACTCCTTGATAAATAGATAAAGCAACTATTACTGCAACTTGTACATACTAGAATAACTGAATAACCACTGAAAAGGACTGTGAAATCCATAGCATGCTACTCACATAATCTAAGAAAAAAGGGGCAAAGCTGCAACCCATATGCATCAAAAGAAAAAAAGAAATTCTTTCAACAAAATTTTAAGGCATAACAAATTTTAATAAAGTAAAAGAATGGAAATACAGAAATCACCTTCAAGGGTGAACATTACCTTCCAATAAAAAATTCTCTGTATGGGTCATGAAGAATCCCATATACCATCCAAGACATAAGTTGATTATACATGACTTGATGCCCATGCCAAAGAAGCCTACGATTCAAGTGAAAGAGGGAGTCGGTGTGAACATAAAATTCAGAGAAAATTTTTCAAAAGAGACTTGGAACTTTTGAACTAAAAGTAGGGAAGTAAGAAAGATATGGACGTAACAAGTCATCACAACATAAAAGGAAAAGGGTCAAATATGCCCTCATACTTTTAGCAAAAAGAGCAATTTCAGCAACTAGGTTCCAATCTTGACATAATGATAACAATCCATTTAAATATATTGACTTGCCTAATAATTTTAATCTTCAAAAAGATAACAGTCAATATATTTAACCAAATTGTTATCATTTGGTGAAAAATTGGAACCTAATTGCAA